ACAGGAGGCTTTTCCTAGCCTTATGTGCGGTAACCTTACCTTTTTTGCACACCTAATACCGTCGACTGGGTCGACTGGGAACTGTACCAGGCACGAGATGTGTAGTTCTCTCGAGCATCCAACCACTGAACTACTGAACCATCTAAGTGACCTATATTATTTCAACAAAAGTCAGTAAGATAATAAGTAGTCCTCACATGTCTGAAACAAACTGATTAAAGGAGATATCAGGGTAAATACACAGACATCTTTGATTAAAAAGATAATGTCATTTTGTAAAAATACAACAATCGTTGTAGTTTTTACTAGATGATCACGGATTAATGCCAGTTAGAGAACCATTGAAAACCAGGGAGTACTGGACAGCTGCTGTTTTATCCTAGTTTGAGAATCATCGGCAGTACGCACTCACCTTCAGGGTTCGAACCCAGCACCTTCCGGTTACAAGGAAAGCTCGTATGTCATTCAGCCACTTTGACGTGATTCTATAGCCAGTCCATGAATTCTAACTTCTAACAATTCGTGATTTTTAGCGTCACCCCAACCAATATCTTCAGAATGAAATCCATCCTCACGCTTGACTGGATGAACCCCACTAGAACTCCAAAAAAAACTCCGTCCTGTAGGAAGTCACTAGCAACCATCAGATTAATTTTCTACAGTTGATTTGTGAGAAATTGTTTTGTTTTTCCGACTTGATCACGGATTGATATCAGTTAGAAATCTCTATAGTACATTTAGGGAAATTTATGATAATATTTTGTCGTGAATTTTTGTAACTTGATTTGACTTCTGATAAAAAAAAACAGATTGTAGCGCACGCAAAAATTATACAGAATTAATATCAGTTTGCACCAAACAAAGGATCAGATGCATGATACTTGTTACCAACCACCTTATGTTCAATCATGGCGTCGGTGACACAAAGGTTAGGATGCTCACCGACCATGCACATGGTCCGAGGTTCGATCCCCGGCCACAGACGCACTCCTTTACCTCGCTAAGCCAGTAATAATGCTGGTAAAGAGGAAAGGTTAGGCATGAGGCTAGCAACCTCATCCTGTAAAAATAAACACTGCTACAGGAACTTCAAGTCGCTAGCCTGAAGCACTTTGTTCCACTGGGAACGTGAAGGAATAAAAACATGTTTAATCAAAGAACCAATTAATTAATTCCTAATGTGGCGTGTACTCCTGACAAGAATTTATAACGAATTCATTGTATATGCGATCGTCTGCATGAATACTGAATGGAGAAGTAATGAATTAAGTGGCAAACAGAGAAAATGAAACATCCTTATTAAAAAAAATACAGAAAGAGTAAAACGAAAACAAAAGAAGAATAAAAGAAAGGACAAAGGCTAATGGAGATATCAATTTCAGGTTTCTACAATTTCATCATAAATATGTACATTATTTTGACAAACCAATAATTCTGATATCAAATACCACTAACTGTGTTCAGCTGTCACACTAATGAAACTCAACCATAGATTGAAATGTCTAATGAAGGTTTACTGAATATAAACGCTGTAGCGCTAAAATTATAAATTTACATTGTAACTTTTGATTCTGTTCAGTGATGAATACTTTTTACACAATTTAGTTAATTGTCAAGAAAAATGTGGCATTCATTTTTATGAAGTTCATATTGGTACGTGCTAACAGTTGGTATTATTTGCAACTACCACTTTTCAGTGTTTCGGCTGCGACAGAAGGCTTCGTGTTTAAAAACAGTGGAGGTTTTGGTAGCTATAGTTTGGTTTTCACGGGGTAGATTTGCTAGCCTCATGCACAACAGTTTCTCTTTTCTGAACTTATTATCCGGCTAGTAAACTAGGTAGTGGTTAAGGGGTCCATTGGCTGGGATTCGAACCTAAAACCACGTGTGGTTGGCAAGCATTGTGTCTATGAACCACCGACACTTACTATTATCCCTGAGGTAAGCGTTTTAGACTATTTATGCATTTGATAATAATAGTATAAAATATGGGTCTGAAATTTAATATCAACGCAAATGATAGGTGGGCGTTTAGAAAAGTGTCTACAGAAGGGAAAATTGAGCATACACATCCATACATAAATGGTGTATTACTTTTTAGATGTTCCACTTGGAAAATATTCAAGTTATTTGATTTCACAGGGTATGTTTGATATGACTGTTGTTCAGGCTTATTTCAAACTAACTCAGGCATCCATATGGAATTCAAACTACCTTATCTAACTATTCTACTGAAGACTACACTACACACAGTTCACATTTTTCAACTTTTCAGACAGTGAGGCAATTATTATTATTTTTCGATTACACCTTGATTCCACATTGAATTTTTGGTACAAATATGGAATTTTCAGCATGGATATTGGCAGCCCAAATTTTGCAGGCCAACCATAGATATCAGGTGTGCGTCGGTAGGGGATCGAACCTCGGACGATGTGCACGGTCGGCGAGAGTCCTAACCAATGTGCCACCGACGCACAGTTGTTCATGATGCCTATGCTAAATTGCTGTTTCAAACCTGATAGAGTGAACTTGTTAGTGTTATCTACTTCGAAAATTCCATTGACGACGTTTACAAGTTCGTTGGCCGACAATTGTGAACCATCGACGCATGAAAGATTCAGTAATCAGCCAAAAAATGAAACTAAAGACATGAATCTACTTTGTCTATCATCTTGATCGTTTCATCTAGTTTAGAAATTACTGAACAAATACTACTCACAATACAGCTTAAAATATTTAACCCCCCCCCCGCCTCCCCTACACCCAAAGTATTACCAAAGTGACAAAATGGTGAATGCTTATGAGTATCAAGTCGAAACTTACCATTTCTGTTTATGAAGCATAACTGCTGACCATGACCTACCAAACTTAAAGTCACTTAATGGTTTTCAGGAAAAAACTGCAAGGTTCACGAAGTGGATATTTTAAAGGAGTCTATTTCATTCAAAGGATTCAGTAGCTGGGATATCTGTAAACATATATTATTAACTTTAGAGTAGAATCGGAAAAGCAAGACAAGCTTTCATTACTCTCAAATCTGTGTGGAGGTCAACAGCAATCAGCATCAAAAATAAGATCCGGATTTTCAACTCCAATGTGAAGTCAGTGCTACTTACTACACGGATCAGAGACTTGGCGAGTCATAAAGAGCATCTCAAACAAACTTCAAACCTTCATTAACAACTGTCTCCGCTCAATACTCAAGATCAGATGGCCAGAAAAGATCAGCAACAGGGATCTCTGGGAGCGAACCAATCAGGAACCGATTGTGAAACAAATAGGCAGAAAGAAATGGAGATGGATTGGCCATACGCTGAGGAAACCATCAAGTGACATCACTAGACAAGCCCTCGAGTGGAACCCGAAAGGGAGGCGGCGAGTTGGTCGTCCAAGGGTGACTTGGAGGAGGTCATGCGAGGAGGAGATGAAAGCATGTGGACAGACCTGGAGCAGGGTGAAAAAGTTGTCAGAAAACCGAAGTCAATGGAGGTGCGCAGCTGAAGCCCTATGTTCCTCTAGGAACTAAAGGATACAATAATAATAAATTAGAGTATCTAAACCCCTTATGCTGAACTGAAAATGAATAAGTGGAATGATCATGATCAAAATAATAATAATAACAAACAAAATTAGTGAGTCAATGGTTTAGCTGTACAATGCTCTTCAGCTATGCAAGCAGCTAGGGTTAGATTCCCTGTTGACTCATTCCTACACCTCACCTGGTCTACTACCTGATGGTAGTAAGTCTGTAAAAGATGGAAGGTTAGTTGCGTGAGGTTAGCAACCCATTTCCTTATAAAACAAAATAACACTACAGGTGATTAAACCCTAAAGCACAATGACTGAAGTCCTATGTTCCATTCAGGACACTAAGGAAAGCAAGGACTTTATAAAATACAGTCCAGAAACAAACACAAACCTTTATGACAAATTAACATATGCTTGACATCACTTGATGTTCAGCGTATATACAGACAACATGAAGATATTGAATGTAAAATAATTTAAAATATTTAAGTTAACTGGAATACGCTAGATCACTGATAAGAAGACTCTAGAAGATCTGGATTTCGTGTGTGGATGATATATGTCTAATGCCACACAAACTCAAAGACATACTGGCGAAAATCGATAAACTGGCTGAAGAGGCAGGCTGGCAGCGAAGACAGGACTATAGATGAACTTAGAGAAGACGGAGGGGTTGAAGATAACCAACGAACAGCAACAACAACAACAACAACCAGCACCAATCGCCACTAAAAGGAGAGATTTAACAGAGACTGAATCCTTCACTTATCTAGGAAGTCAGCATCATTTCAACTAAAGGCGGAACGGATAAAGACGTCAAAGTCAGACAGAATCGAAAAGACAAGATACACCTACACCTACATCAACGTGAAACCAGTTTCGAAATCTTCTGCACCCAGCCTCAGCCAGTGTAAAAGAACAAGATTTGGTTTTTCAACACATATGTGAACTCAGCCAGTCCTTCTATACGGGTAAGAAACTTAACATATTCGTCACGAAAAGGATTTCCAACAGGTTACACCTTCGCTCTATACTGAAGATTATATGGCCAGAAACAATTAGCAACACGAAACTCTGAGAACAAACCAACCAAGTGCCAATCCCTCAACAGGTATGCAAGAGGAAATAGAGATAGATTGGACATATACTGAAGAAAATGTAGAATGATATAACGCACAGTCCGAGCCATCGCTCCAGCGGAATCCAAATGGGAAGCGACGAATGGGTCGTCGGTGAGAGAGTGACGTGGAGGAGATCGTGTGAGAGAGAGAGAGAGATGAGAGAGTTTGTTCAGTCGTAGGCCCAGCTGAAGAGAATGGCAGAAAATAGAAGAAAAAATGAACAGTGTTTTTGAAGCGCTGTGTTCCACTCGGAACCCCCAAGAAATAATAACATTGTGATAAATTAACTGGATTTCATAAATAAATATACATAATTAAATTCTAGTAGGTAGTAATTAAATCACTTACCTCAATAATGAATGATGTGATTCAAGCAATGGAGCGTTTGCTTTCTTTTGAACTGAAAAGGTAAACAAAAAATTTCAGTACATAGTGTATTTGAAATACCACTTGTTTATACGAAATTAAAACATTAACGCCTAATGGTTAGCTAATATACACCTTGTACGATTAGCACTCCTTCTCTATGCCGAAAAATTAAAGAAAATAATATAAACGAGGCAGTATGACATAAAAAACATATTCAGAAGTCAAAATGGAATCCAATGGCCCGTGAATTAGAACTTCTGTATATTAGAGATTTATTAACCCACTGCCAGTTCATGTCATCAGCAAGTGACTGACTATTAGAAGAAGCTGTCCGAAGTCCCGGTAAGTGGTTGTAACCAGCCGGTGTGACCACAAATACTCGCCAGAAAGTGATGGCTAGCAGTAGGGCTAAAATTTCGTATTGACGGATGCTAGAAGTTACAGGCCAATGGATTCTGTCCCAATGGTTGAATGGTCAACGAGCTGGCCTCGTAACCTGAAGTTTCAGAGGTCATGGGTGATAACTGGCGGAGAGTTCCAGAACTGGTACAAAAGAGCTGTCCAGTACTCCTTGGTCTACATTGATTCTCTAGGTGATATCAATCCGTGGTTAAACTTGAACTAATCAAATCCCTACAAACTAACACTTGAAAAATAAAAATAAATCTATTCACGAATCCCACTGGTAGATTGTATCGTTCACTAATAGTAGGCAGATAATCACTGGGAACTAAGAAGTGATTAGTTAAAATGAAATTAGCACTGAAGATTTTGTCTAGAAAGAAAGCCACAGCTTTGCAACTCAGCCATCTACCTGATCGAACAAAACAACACCAAATCACCCATGTGGACGGTGTAGGCTTACTTAGCGTACCCATTTGGAATTATTATTTTTATTATATCCCTGGAGCACAGGGTTTCAATTACTCATCCCCACTTCACTCTTTTCTCTGAAGACTTTTTATTACTGGCTCCACAATTGTCCATAAGCTTTCACCTCCTTCTCACACCATCTCCTACAAGTCAATTTCGGACGCCCGTCACTTCCTACTGAGGTTCCACTCGGGGCCTATTGGAGTCACAATCAATTGCCAATGTCAATGGTGAGACTATCCACTTTGTAACCAATAAATTATCATACAAAATGTTCAGAAACCACAAGAAAACTGTCACCTCTATGGTAATTATTAATCCTCTCTGTAAACGTACTGATACATACACAAGATACATTGATATTACTGACCAATGAATAGAATGAAATCAGTTGTACAGTCGAACAAATATATGCGCATTATATGCCTAATCACATGTATATATATATATATATATATATATATATATATATATATAATTACACCACCACATTTGTGGACATAAAATCAATTTAACAGGATTTCCAGTTGAATAATCTTATTCAACTAAATCTAACCATATCAAAGGATGATTTATGCAGATAATTATGACTATAATAGTATCAATCGACATTAAAATATCACTTAAAATGCTCAATTATAACATTCTTTAATCAATTAATGACTGGTATAATCAGAACTGTGTATCACTGACTCTTTAAATGTCAGTCGATTAGTGGTTTTATTAGAAAAGACTCAAATAAACCAATATGGCGACTGAATATATCAATAGAAGAAAATAAAAGTGACTATTTAGATTGTAAGAGAAAATTGACTGCTGACCATAGGTACCTTGTCGGCAGTCTTACTCAGTCATTAGGCAGACAGTGTCATTTAACACAGAACATTACTGGCTGGTTTTGTGTCATCATTTGGGACTTCAGTTCAATTGTTTATAACCTAGATTCTGAGAAAAATACGGAACCGTGAAGCCACTGTTCATATTTATGAATCTTGAAGAAATTGACGAATTGTTTTCCAAAATAGTGAAAGAGATTTGTAGCTCGGGTTGATGACTTTGATGTGATTGTTTTTTTCTTTCTGAGTTGGGTAATTTAACGGTGAAAATCTCATTGTCTTTCTGGGGAAACATCTTTAGTTCAGGCTCCAATATGAAGTGAACTTATTTGAATTTTCGAGTGAATAAAATAATTGTCTCCCTTAAAGACCTTACTTCCGACTGGCTATTACTGTTTGCATTAAAACCTATCGTTTTATTCACTTGGGATCCTAGTTTTTCGCGAGGTAACTTATTCTTGTTAGTGGATGAATTTTGTTTTTTTTTAATGTGTCCGTTGATTGCAGAGGCATCTAAGTAGAAGACTTCTCAATAATCCCTAACATTTCTGGTGTTTCCACTGTTTAAAATTGTTACATCTTCCCAGTTAATCTGGTATTCATAGTTGTCCGTATGCGGTGACATAAAAGAATATATATATCACATCTTTTGACAACTGGTTTATATCCTTCAGGTCGGATTCGAAGAGTACGGCTACTTCCACCAATAAAGTGCTTCGCACACATATGGTGCCATATTTTAAAAGATATTAACCTTGTCTTCTTTAGATTTTGGGTCTACATAGTATTGAATGGAGGAATTGTGTTGGCTTTATTTGTGATGTCTGTTTCTAATGATCTTTGCATTCTCGATGTTATTTTAGAAATATTCTTCAAATATTCAGTATTAGGACAAATTTCCTGGGAATAAATTCATACTAGTTGTATGATTCCAGTTCAGGATTACAGGATTACATCATAAGCTAAATCGGTTAGTGAACCATGGAGCACTGGATATCCTAACTATCTATAAGCTCGTCTTGTGACCAGAAGGTACTGGGTTCGAAACTCGCAGTGCGGGTGCTGTCCAATACTCCCAGGTTTTCCAATGGTTCTCTAACCGGTGTCAGCTCACGATGAAATCCTGTAACCAATCAGTGAAATCCCTACTTGAATATCCATTTTTTGTTGAAGGCAATTGTTAGATATTTTCTCACGACTGGAATAATGTTTGTACTGAGTTTTTTTTGTACACTGTTGAAATTTTCCTGTCACACCTGATCACTTGCTCTGTGTGGACTGACTTTCTGTATACTTGTGTTTCCAGACTTCCTATGTCTTCCGTCTTAAATAAGACAGCAAAGAAAGGAATTCTGTTGCTTAATTCCTCTTCTCTTGTGAACTTCACATCTTCAAATACGTTGTCGATTAATTTATAAGTGTAATCTAAATCATTTCTTCCAATAATGACAAATTTTTCAAAAACATAGCATAACTAGATTTTTCATTTAATTATTTTTTTCAGAGCATATAAAAATCTTATCACAACTTCAACAGATACATTCTCTCTTAAAAACCGTAATACATGAAAATCCAGGTACTATAGCCATACATACTACAATAATGATAAAAAAGACGTTAAACAACACAGTCAAATAAACAAAAACCGAATAAATCTACTATTAAACCAACTAAGTCTTCTAAACTATGAGAGAGGGAGGGATTTTAGACATCTTACCTCATCTGTTGCAACAACAATATTACAGATCGATGAATATATATATATATATTAACAGTGATCATAAAAATTTTACTGTCTAACTTCCAATAAAAAAATCCAAACATTTTTACGCCTACAAGTACTTGTCTATTGTTCAGTCAAGTGTTCAGTCTAGTTAGTAACTTTAGCTTTTCATTAGTTTATTGATGTTGTGTTGATGTGTTAATGTGACAGTTGTTGAGGTGTATAGTATAGTACAAATAGTATTCTTTCATATTTTTTTTAATCGACTCATGTGGTTGTTTAAGTAATATGGTAAAACAAGCAAACAAACGGAAGAACAGGAAGAAGAACAAGCAGAACTATAGGAGCACGTGAAACATTCGAATTGGATTTATTTATTTTTTTAAAAGAAGGATGAATACATAATCCCATAGTGTCATAGAAGAAGTAGTATAGACGACCAATGTATGTAAGCAAGACAGCTGCAATAATTTCATTGGGAAAATGGGATATGTGAAAAATGAATGATTTCCGGTTAGACCAGGAGCTGATATCAGGTAGAGACATAGCAGCAAACACTAGTTGTTTCGTCCTGATCAAGGCCTCATCGGAAGTTAGCACCCAACACGGCTCGAACCTAAAACCTTCTGGTTACAGGGTGGATCATTCAGAAACTAAACAGGGTCCTAATGATAAAATGGTCTTTGAACTTGCCCTGTAACCAGGAAATCTTTGGTTTGAAACCATATGAGCGTGGAATAAAGCTGGAGAGTATAAAACTTGGTCACTGTGGTAGAGTATACCTCCATTATGGATATGATTTTTATTTTGATATATCACACAAAGTTATACAGTAATATTAACTGATGACCAAGTTTCGAGCACAAATTATTGCTCATAATCATATCGAGTTACTCACACAACTTTTTCCTTGATTTATATTTGTATGGAAAATCAATATATGATAACGTACATTCAGAAATAGTAATATGAGTGGAGAGATCAATGGAGATCAAGTAATCTTTCTCAGCTTTACGTTGATGAAATAAAAGAACAGTAGATTTCAAAGAAGTTACTTCCACGTAAGACTTGAGACTCTTAAAGTAATATTAGAAATCTCAGGAAAATTAGACATTGTTAATATGAAAGATCACTAATTTATATTCAAATAGTTGGTAAATAATTGTAGGTAGTAATCGCTTACCCTCTTCAAGTCTCTTTTTGCGTACAAGTATTAGTATAATAAGCAGAGCTGTGAAGAAAAGCAGTAAAGTACAGACAATAATAAACCAAGTTCCACTATCTCCAGCTAAACTTCCTGGACTTGGACCGCCTAAAGTGTGTATTAGTCTATCTTCACTTGTTGCTGACATAACATCTCCATTCGTAGCAACCATTCGAACTGCATATGTTGTATCTGTAGAAAAAAAAGGGTAAGCAATTCAAATACTCCATAGAAAACAGAAATTCAATAGGGATTAAGAACAACATTATTTAGATATGATAGAGAAGATATGTAGCTCAGATGGATGATTTTGATGTAGGTGTGTTCTCTGAGCTGGATGGTTAATTTGTGGAGCTTTCATCACCCCACTACTAGGCGACATCTTCAGCGCATACTTCCATTTTGAAGTGAGCTTTTAGATTTCTTCACGAGTTTATTAATCTTCTCTCCTGGTGATCTTGAGCGTGGCTGGTTGTTTTTGTGTGTTTTCACGCCTTCTAGGTTACTTGTATTGTCCATAGACGTCTTCCAAAAGAATGGATATCCACGGAATTTCATCAAAAGACATATAACCCCAGGCCAACCTATCAAACCAAAAGCCACCAAGGAAAGCACAAAGAAAATCGCCTTACCTTATATAAAGGATATCTCAGAAATCACTACAAGACTCTTCAAACCTTTAGGAATTGACGTCGTGCACAAACCAATAAAGTCGCTTCACTTAATTCTATGTCAACCAAAAGACTCAACAGCGAAAGAAGATAAAACCAACATCATCTACAAAATAAATTGTAACAACTGCGAAAAACACTACATTGGCCAAAGTGGACGTCCCCTTCGTCTTCGTATCCATGAACATAAGCTAGCCGTCAAAAGACATGATATCCACTCACTCATATCACTACATACAGACAACCACAGATATCGATTCGACTGGAACAACGTTCAAATATCAGACAGAGGAAACAACAAGACTGCTAGAGAATTTTTAGGAGCTTGGCATTCCAGTGAATCATCAATCAATAGACACATCGAGATAGACAAAATTTATCAACAGATAAGAAAGAAACTTCACACACATAGGGTCAAAGTTCAAGTCAAAGAAACAGTCAGTTCCAATACAAGTAACCTAGAAGGCGTGAAAACACACAAAAACAACCAGCCACGCTCAAGATCACCAGGAGAGAAGATTAATAAACTCGTGAAGAAATCTAAAAGCTCACTTCAAAATGGAAGTATGCGCTGAAGATGTCGCCTAGTAGTGGGGTGATGAAAGCTCCACAAATTAACCATCCAGCTCAGAGAACACACCTACATCAAAAACAACATTATTTGTTGGACTAAATGAAGCTTTACGGAAAAAAAGCTATACGCCCTTAGTACACGTCCTAGTAATACCAATTTCCGGGATTCAAGTGGTTTAACAGCTAAACATTACTGAGAAGATCATCAAAATCCTTGTAACCAAATAAAGGCTCATTAAAGTCCATGTAAATATGAATTTATCTGTAGACTTTGTGTATATATTAAACTAAAGCATATACTTGAACTACTGAATTATTCCAATAAATTGACTGAGAAACACTTATTTCACCATCAAAAAGCAACAACAATTGATCATACAGGTGTATAGAAAAGCATAGCCTAATTACTGGTCAATAGATACCTCTTCTTTTTTCTCCCTTTTACTTTCATGCTAATGCGATTTTGTGAATAAAAGTTCAGTAGTTGATAAATGATAAATGTAACTCAATGTAACATAGAAAAAAAACTATCTTCCCTAATGACTCAAGATCTAATATAGATTACCAAATCTGGCTAGTCAGTTTACTGGCTACTTGTAGCATTATTTAAAGTTTTTGAAAGCTTAAACAGTGGAAACAGGCATAAAGTGGACCCACACAAAAAATAGAGGATCTGGACTTCGCAAATGATATATGCCTGATTTCTCACAAACTAAAAGATATGCAACTGAAAAGCAACAAGTTGGCGGCAGAAGAAATATCAAAGATAGGACTTTAGGTGAACATAGATAAAACAGAGGCATGTGATGAAGATTCCTGGGCAACACCGACAGCAACAACAACAACAACAGACAACAATCAGCCAGCATAAATGGGAAGAACCTGAAAGAAAAAACATCCTTTACCTACCTACCTGGGAAGCATAGTCATTTCAACTACAGGTGGACGGAACTGACGAGGATATAAAAGCAGGGAGGATCGGGAAAGCAAGGCAAGTTTTCATTTCTCTCAAGTCTGTGTGCAGATCAACGGCACTCAACATGAAAAATAAGGTCCGGATTTTCAACTCCAAAGTGAAGTCAGTCAGTGCTACTATGTGGATCAGAGACTTGGCGCGTCATAAAGAGCACCTCAGACACACTACAAACCTTCGTCAACAGCTGCATTCGCTCAATACTCAATATCAGATGGCCAGAATAGATCAGTAACAGGGATCTCTGAGAGCAAACTGATGCAGCAGGAACCGATTGTGCAGCAAATATGCAGGAAGAAATGGAGATGGATTGACCATACTCTGAGGAAACGAGCCATAAAGTGACATCACTAGACAAGCTACTGCTCGAGTGGAACCCGAAAGGGAAGCGGCGAGTTGGTCGTCAGTGTGAGGGTGACATGGAGGAGGTCATGTGAAGGGGAGGTGAAAGCATGTGGGCAGACTTGGAGGCAGGTGAAAACGTTGGCAGAGAACCGAACGCAATGTAGACGTGTGGCTGAAGCCCTATTTTCCTCTAGGAATTAAAGGAAATAACAATAATAAACCCAATAGAATTATCCACATAAGCAGACTGTTGTCATAAATACAGGGCACTATATACTACTGATTGATTTACATGAGTAGTTGGATACCGCTTATATCAACCGATGATAATTGCTAACCAAACCGTCTCTCTGATATGGGTGACACACACACAGAGCTTATTAGCTGTGTGCTCAGTTCGACTCACTTCAGACTGCAGAATGGCAGACAAGATGATATTTTCATAGGTATTTAATGCACCCGAGTAACTTTATTTGGAATAAAAGTATTCAGTGGGTATTCAGAAGATTCACATTTTGGATTTATGATATATATATATATATATATATATATATATATATATATATATGTATTTATATATTATTCCGACTGGAATCAGAGTTTCAAGGTTTCAATATCATTGATGTTTTTTTTACTGAGTGGCTTCACGCCAAACCTTTCCACTTTGTCTGGCTTACATTTGGATAAGGGAAGGTGAGAGTTAAGGTGCGGGTTGATCGGCATTAGAACTCCAGACCACGTATATGGTAAAGCAGCATTCTACCGCTGAACCGCTGATGCACAGGGGGTAAAATGGATTTCTGTTGTTAGAAAGAAATGGCTTCCCTATTGATAACGAAGTTATTCAGCAACAGGATGACAGACGCTTTATATCTCAAGTGAAAATCACCGATAAAAGTATATGTATAAAACACAAGACTATTCAGAAAAATAAATCACCGTGGCAGCTAATGCTCAAAGTCAAAGTAACTTGTTACACAAACGGTAAATTCTAACGACAACTTTATTAGATAGACGTATAAATCGAAATTTAAATCTTGACAAGTGGTCAATTATGATTAAGGATAAAAATATTCTAGATGTTACTTCTTGTATGGAAGATATTTGTTTTTAAATTTAGCCGATTCTACTACCTTTTCTTTTATTATTGCATCGACAGAAGTTTCCTAACACTAATCTACACTATTTGCTTTAAAAAAAAGGGCTTGATTTCTTTTGTTTGGCTGTACTAGACACTTTATCACTTGAATAAGGTTTCAACTTGATATTCTACTAACACCAGGTCTCATGGATACTAATTCCGTCAACTTTTACTGTGTACCTCGTGTTTCAAGACAGTTGATTAACTAGCTATATGTTCATACATGTGCTACATAACAATGGTGTAAATATAATATACGATTCAGTGTAGCGTAATACTATGAAAATACTATGCGTCGGGGGCACAGCGGTTAGGACTCTCGCCCGATCATGCACATGGTTCGGAGTTCGATCCTCTGTCGACGCACACCTGATATCTATGGTAGGCCTGCAAAATTTGGGCTACCGATATCACATGCTGAAAATTCCATACCTGTACCAAAAATTACGGTGTGGAATCAAGATGTAATCAAAAAAATTGTTTACCTGACATAAGTGAATCAACAGTTATTGTCCGGTTAATAAATGTACGAACTGATTCTAACCAATGAACTATACCAGGTTGACGATATTGTACAAAAAATACAGTTCCCGGTAGACCAGTATGACTAGGCTCATAAATAACAGTGAAACCAGTCTCAGTAATACGAGTGATAACAAATGTTGGTGGACTTGGGGCTAAGAAAAAAACAACACAAATAAACACACAACGATACAGTGACAAAAAAGAAAATCAACTTTAAATTTCTTAAGAGTTAGACAATCATTAATTCTGTCACAATAAAAATGAATAATAATGCGGTATACTCCGTCTAATTAACAGAATACATAAGACTCCAAGCTTAATCTTATTACACGAACTGGGATTGCTAACCTTACACCAAGTCTCTCCTCCTTACCAAACATACTAACAGCTAAGCGAGATTCAGGAGTGTGTGTTGTTTAGTAATCGAACCCGAAGCAAATGTATCATTTTCTATAGTTTGGTTTGTGAGGTTTAGTTATATTTTTACGATTTGATCACGGATTGATATCAGCTAGAGAACCCCTGAAAGCCAGGGAGTACTGGACAGCTGTTTCATCCCGGTTCGGGAATCGTCGGTAGTACGCACCCACTGCCAGGTTTCGAATACAGGACCTTCCGGTTACAAAGCAAGCTGGCTCATATACCATTCAGCCACTGGGACTCGATTCAATGGCCAGTCCATGAGTTCTAACTTCCACCATTTCGTGATTTAGTGCAACCCCAACCATTATCGTCGGTGGGACATCCATCCTCACACGTGACCAGTGAGGTTCATCCATATATCACGTGTGAGGATGGATGTCCCACCGACGATAATGGTTGGGGTTGCACTAAATCACGAAACGGTAGAAGTTAGAATTCATGGACTGGCCATTGAATCGAGTCCCAGTGGCTGAATGGTATATGAGCCAGCTTGCTTTGTAACCGGAAGGTCCTGTATTCGAAACCTGGCAGTGGGTGCGTACTACCGACGATTCCCGAACCGGGATGAAACAGCTGTCCAGTACTCCCTGGCTTTCAGTGGTTCTCTAGCTGATCAACTCGTAAGATGTGGCATTGGCAAACGCTGTACCATTGAAGCACCGACTCAAAGAATGCATGATGGTTTTGTTATGAAATGAAATATTTCAGTCCTATTCCCATCAGAGGACAAGATGATGGACAAAAATTAGATCTAATTGTCCATAAGATAGAAAAAAGTAACTATATTTCCCGAGATCTCGTTGTAATAACTGTGGTCATTTATAACAAAATGTCGAAAAATAATAATAGTTTCATACATTTATTCCTGAAAATGAATTTGAATATGGCAAGAATAACAGTTTTTGAAGAATAAAATGGTACCATCATTTATTTCGTTGCCTTCTTATCATCTGCTTACAGCCCAAAGTCATTATTAAGTATATCTACAAAAACAACTTTAACATACTTGCAAGGAGTCCATTTCTAGAAAAAAAGCAATCATACAATAATATATATATATACAATAAACACTTTATCAGGAACAATATTGAGCATACACATTTGAAACTTTCGGTATCGCGTAATCAGATGGGGGTGAGGGTGCAAACATCCAGTTACTAGGGAAAGGAAAGACTGATAACTGCTTTTTTCTGATTGCACCAATCAGGTTTCAGGAGCTTGATGGAGACGGCTTCAGAAAACTTGAGGAGAATTGAACTCCTTTGTCTACTGATAATTTTGAACGATCTTTCGACGTCTACATCATGACCTATGTCAAGGAAATACCTGCCTATGACACTGTTTAGAGCATTTGTTCCCTTGAGACATAAGCTTTTGATACATGTTTAGAAAATCAAAGATATGCCCTTTTTTCTGTTCTTCCAATGTAACCGCTCCCGCAGATACATATAAATTTGTATATACAGTTGGAGTTGTTAACATAAGAAGGATATCTGTCGACTTTTGAGTGCACCAAAGAGTAAGTTTTTAGATAGACAGGAACCAACTTAGCTGCAGGATAGGCTGTGTCTAAGAACATCCTTAAACTTCTATTGACAACTACTGTATTTTGTTCACCTCTTAAAATCAAGTTGGATGTAGATGGACATTTTTTCCACTGTGATTTGATCAATGTTTGAGTATTCAGATCATCCGTACTTTTTAATGAACCTTTCAGTGTAACCGTCATTTTTCAACATTTTTTGATAAACATCAATTCTTCCTCTGATTTCTCTGTAGAGCGTTATTCTCCCAGCTCTATAGTACGGAGTCTTGACTAGTGCTCGTTTGAAGCTGTCTGGACAAAAACTATTAAGGTATCATCCATTCCATGTAGGCTGTCGGTAACCTGACTTCTGGAGACTACCATCTTCTAGGCGTTGCATGGCAGTGTCGAGGAAATGGAACTTTCCATAATTTTCACGTTCCATAGTAAAATCCAATATTTGCATATGCCTCGTTCAATAATCTGAGTAGGAAGCATGACTTTCATTGTCGCACACTACAGATGTGTCATCGACATGTCAACAGTAGGAAGTCCATATCATGGAGTGTTATATTTGACAATATATTTACACAGAAGGTGAGAAATAGTTGAATGGAAATATAACACATCGTTTTTTAGCTACTGACAATAGAGATTTTTATAACTATAGTCCATTGTGACGTCATAGAATGAATAAAATTCGATCGATTTAGAAATATAACACGTAAAATATAGTCACTAGCAAAAAGGAAGTTGATATCGCATAATTCTGTGTTTAGATAGATACGCTACTAAATCAAATTCACAGTTTTGCAGATTAATTCGCAATTTACACAGTTCATCACAGCTTCCTTTGGAGACAAAGATTATTCAAATTACAAGATGTAATCTGATTGATACCATGAACGGTAATCCAGAAACTAAGCCTAAATCCATGAGACTACATACTACGAATTGACTGTGATGAGTAGCTGTATACGACTTATATCAACCAACGGTGTTTGTTAGCCAGAAGTCAGGTGTTTTGAACCTATTTCCCACTCTGAATCGAGCTAAACTGGGTACACCGTTGATAAACTCTGCCCCGAAGGAGAGAGAGATGATCGCTCGGTGTTCAGATCACTTCAGTCTGGCTAGTAAACACAACTGATTGATTTAGGTATTATACAGGTACTAACCTCAGTCAGTCAGTAGTACATAGTTTTATGTAGACACACAGCTATTCGCTGCTCGACTGATTGGTGGTCCCTTTCTTTCTGGAAAGCGTTCAGAAGAAGAGTTTTACTGGGATGGTTGAAATATAAAGTCATTTAGAATAATGGATATACTTAAAGTTGTCTCTATAGTCACATATTAAAAATAGAATATTTCTGCAGGAGTTTTATAACCGTTTAACTGCTTTTTACGTTAAAACCATTGCTTATTCTCTCTTTACCAATGAACCTCTGCTAAGTTGTCTCCACAAAGCTGAATCTAGTCTTTGCGTTTTGATAGGACTACATACAGCCAGTAGCTTTAATGTGTTTGGATTTTAATTAGGTAGACTCTTCATATATCTGTCTACGTAGGTCCCCTCATCCAAGCCTCTGATAATTTTGAGGCGACGGTGTATTAACTATTATACGACAGCGTACTTGAATCACTGGGCTAGCTGAGTTTCCATCGAACACTATACCTGAGGTTTCCTTTAATTCTCTTTGTTTCAACCATCCAATCATGTCCGTCAGTCGTCAAATGTAGTCACACACATTTTTAATTGGCTTTTAACCTACTGCTGCGCATTCCTTGTGCACGTGGAAAATGTCATAAGGAATTACCTAATTCTTCAGATCAAACAGCTTTGCATCGCATGGTGTATTCCAAATTGCTATTTTACTTGAAAATCTTGGATGGAGAGAAAATATTACGTAATACACTACTCTGAGAATCCCACAGGCTGCGTAAACTTTTTGTGAAGAACAAAGTTGTCATTACTATTATAACTTTATTATTATTATTATTAACTCTTTACTTGTACATTAATTAGAAATTTAATGGATTGTTAACTGTGAGATACTTTCCATATGATAGACATTTCTTCCTTTTTCTACTCCAAGACTTTCTATTCTAAGTAACTTCCGAATAGCATAATAATTTTCTGAACTAGGTCAGTATTAACAACTTACTTTTAACCAAAACAACTAGTCTTAAATATAAGCTCAGTTGTGAAGGTTTTGATTTTAGAATCATTCCAGAAATACCTAATTTAGTGTGATGTTGTAACGACAGAACTCGGGACTGGTTGGTAACGGCGTTTCTTTTGGCAATTTGGTATACACATATACACATGTGGTCATTTACACAGATTTCCCATTTTGTGCTAATTCTCTCTTTCGTTTAGTGTTTCTTTGTCTTCTTCTTTTTGTGCCTCCGATATTTTGCCACAATAGTGGTTCTTTTCCTCTCTATGACGTCAAATCTATCTCTCCGCTATTTGATGTTTATGTGCCGATGATATTCTCTTCATAAACCACTGATAAATCTTATAATTAACACATGCCACACTATCTTTTGTTCTATGAAAAAAGTGCGAACCTTCCACTCGTAAGAATATGTCTTCATCCCTATTCAGGTAGGTAGTTACCTGTGGTTCTGGTGAGAAGTCGTGACCAGTAGGGTGCAGCCGGTCGGGTGTGAGGACAAATACTCGCCGAAGACATTGGCTAGCGGTTGCGCTATGTCGTGAATTGGCAGAAGTTAGAATTCAAGGACCATTGGATCGGGTTCCAGTGTCTTAATGGTATACGAGCTCGCCTTGTAACCGGAAGGTCCTGGGTTCGAACCGTGGCTGTGGGTGCGTACTGATGAAGCGATCTAAACAAGGACGACTAAAGCAAATGTCCAGTACTCCTAGGTTTTCCAATGGTTCTCTCATGATGAAATCCTGTGTCCAATCAAATCCCTATAAACCAACACTAGATTATCCGTTTAAATTTATTTACAAAAGGAATTAAAACCTACAACTGGTTTCTACATTGAAAACTTTAAAGGTTAGCGGAGATATTTACCCAAGAATTAGTTGAGAAGTGCCACTTCTAGTAAAAAGGAATAACAACAGTCAGTTACTAACTGTTACTAACAAAATAACCACTGCCGTGTTGTAACTACTATAATAAACTACCTTGATCACTTGGAGCAGTTCGTATGTCAATGAAATTATCAACTCCAAGACCAGCTTTAGTCGTCGGTGATACAGTTATACGATATGTTGTATTCCCTTTCAGCCGAGACATTCGATAAGATGTTGTCATGTTGTCAGTAATTCTAGGGTAACGAAATCCATAACCAATATCCAATCCATTCACTGAAATGTTTTAAAAAAAAACAGATAAATGAATGTTACAGGGTGAAGGATCTCTTCTAAATGCATCAAAACTAAAAAAATGAAATATTTGTTCCCTTTAAATCATTGTGAGCGTGACTGTTTTTTTTTGAGAATTTTGAGTTAAAACAATGTGATGCAAACAACATTAAATAGTTGACATATCTCTTATGGATAGATTATCCAGCTATCTTCATGTGTTTCCATTGGAAACATTTTGAACTCCCTCTATATCGGCTAGTAACTTTTAAACAATAAGTTCAGTTATACAGAAAGATGCTAACTAAAACCCATCAAACCACACAGTCCAACACTGTTTTCACTCCTTGCGTTCCGAGTGAAACATATACGGCTTCTAAGCTTTAAAGTCTCAGTAGCGGTGGCTTTTTTGAGCGGATGCTTGAAATTCTCTAGTCTCACTCCCAATATCCTCTCTTTTCCAGGATTACCACCACCGACCTAGCTGAATTTGGAAGAACAATAAGTACATGATAAGTCGGCAATGACTGAAACGCCACTTGGGAGTCTCATGGCTGTTGTACTTCAATTACCTTCTTGTTTTGACAAAACCCTACAATAGAAAAGACTGCAGATTATTTATTCAAAGGCATATCAGACTATAGCTAAAATCATTTTCTTTTCATTCCTTTGCATTGTTCACTGGGGGAGGTCAGTAGCCTCATGCTAAACCTTTCTTCTTCTTCTTGGGCTTAATATCTACTAGTCAACTGGGAGAGATTTATGAGGTACACTTGTTGGGCATCGAATTCCAGACCTCGTGCATAGTTGACGAGCATTCTATCACTGCATTACCTTAAAGCAACCGAAAACAATGAATCGTTATCATTTTTTTTTACTAAACTAAATTGAGACATAAATTTTTAAAGATAATCATTATTAACTAACATTCCATAGCTTCCAATTCATAACCGGTTATATATCCATTGGGTTCAGTTGGTAAAGACCAAGACACGTCCACATAATTAACACTGATTGCATCCGATTTTAAATTGGTCACTGGTCCAGATACACCTTCAGGTGTAGTCACTTCAATAATAGGACTGATAGAAAATAGATAAATAAAAGGTTTGGTAAATATTATGGAACTTAACTACAGGAAAGAAAACATTACATCAAATCTATTCACTGAAAAGAAGACAACGTCAAATGCAGTAAATCCCAATGAAGAATGTTTATCATTTCAAAACACTTCTATGCGGGAGCATCCGGTCATGTTCAGATAACTACGAAATATGTTACTATGTGTTAAAAAATTTATTCTGTGAAAATTGAAACACGTAAATGAAAATGCTGAATAATACTGAAACACCAGTCGTAACCGCTGACTTTACTAATCATTACTGCATCACGCATGTTGCATTCATACACTGATGAGAATTTAAGATTAATTTTGTTATTATACAGAGTTGAGCAAATCTTAAAAACTATCGGTCAGATTTCTAGATCACTTAAGTTATAAACTCTCCTATATGATATTCAAGTATTGGTTTCTAGGGATTTAGTTGATTGGTTACAAGATTTCATCATGAGCTGAAATTGGTTAAAGAACCATTGGAAAACCAGTAGGGTGTACTGGACGGCTGTTTCGTCCTAGTTCGGGACTCTTCATGAGAAGTTAAAATTCATGGGCCATTGGATCGGGTCACAGTGGCTTAATAGTCTACGAGCTCATCTTGTAACCAGAAGGTCCTGGGTTCGAACCCTGACGGGCGGTGCCTACTGCTGAATAGTCCTAAACGAAGACGACAGAAACAGCTTTCCAGTACTCCTTGGTGATTTTCCAATGGTTTTATTAACCAATGTCAGCTCATTATGAAATCCTATAACCAATCTTCTATATGATTCAAAAATTGAAATTTATGCAGCACATACTGCTCAGATAATAACAAAGATTCTTTTCGGTGAATTCATTCGTAGGCGAACTGATATATTCTAATAGAAGTAGTTAGATGCAAGATCTTTTCCTTGAGTCTTCTGCATACCATTGGATGACTAGCAGAACATTGATCCAAACAGTGCTGCGAAGAATATTCTTCTCAACGATTATAAAATGTGCATACAACAGTTCTTCTATTCCTGCGGAGCCGAGTATACTGGTCATTCGTCACGTATCCTGTTTACTAAATGATTTAAGAAAACTATCCCACATGGTCCGGAAAGATAGTAAGGATGCTATACCAAAAGTAGTGTGATGATTGGACATCTTGTAGAGATTTGTCATTCCATCTCAACAAACTCATCCTTCTAAGTGTTCTACGAAGTGAAGTACTACCTATCAAAGACAATTCGCTTTCGTCTCCTTTGTATTAGTTAAGCTATAGTCGTTCAGCCAAAGAAGCCAGACTTCTACATACAAAATAAAATCACTCAATCACTTCTACAACCTTGTTGATTTCTAACGACTTGATTTTTGTTTGTGACAACTTTGTTACTATCCTCTTTTGTGAAAAATCGTATATAAATGCGATTATACAGTCAAGGAAAATGAATTTGCCGGAAAAACCTCTTCGCTCAACTATCTGCTTTGTTTTCATTACTGTTTAGATGGGTATTATTCATAAGTGATAAAGGTGTTTAATATCGATTGATTTCTGATACATCTAGATTTCGCAGTCGTCAGCATAATACACATGTAACCCCAAAGGAACTCATGTCTCTTTTGAAATTTTAATTCATGTCATTCAATACTGCAGTCAAAGATACAACGACTGGGATATCCTGACTGTGACCTACCTCCCACGGGACAGTAATGGATACACTGATTGATCCCTGGAGGGTGACTATTATTTTATTGTATAATCCTTAAAGTCTACTTAAATCTCTCAGTCAAGCTTTCCACATGATCGCCGAGCTAGACGAGTAACTGTGGGATCTGAATTTCTCAGTAGTAAAGCCGCTGGCTGCTCCACTGAGTAACGCTAGTTCGAATCTAAGAGGGGAGACAAGTTCATTCAAAGTCTCATATATGCCTTTCTGATGAGTACCCCAGTGCTCAGGAGCAGAATCTGAGGGTTTGTGACCATCAAATCGAACCTTTTAATGTCAACCTAAAGTGTAGTAATTCTTACTTAGTTTTGATAAATAAATATGTCTAATATATTATTCTAATTCCAAGTATGTCAAGGTATGAGTTCAACTTTAATAATTTACAAGCTGTCAACATTTAATACCAAGAGTTTGACTAAACTCTTCGTGATAAACTTTGGTGACCCTGAATACAACTAAATTTGCGCGAGAAATTTTAACTTGATGAAAACTATAACGTCTATAACTTAAATGCTTAGAATTTTAATACAAAAGCTCCAACACATGTAATTTACACTATATTAAGTCATTTTTAGTCAAAAATTCTGATATGTTTACCTTGCTGGACCTGCATACTTGTTAGTTAAAATTCTTAGCCATAATTTAATATTCGTTGCACCGGGAACTCCTGTGAGTAGATAGTCTATTAGTGCACCCGACTGAACGTCAGCTGGAATAGATTGACTGCTTGAAGGATTAGTTGAAGGAATAGCTTGACGCCTTCTGCGTGCAACTAACATACTGTAAGCATCTCCAAGAACAGAAGGCGACTGAGCAGCTCTTGGAAATAAACCAGCTCCTGGACAAGATATATTTCGTCTTGGTGTACTTTCACAAATTGGATTAGGAACTTCTGTCACCAGTGAACCCATAAGCCATCGATAATAGGCTTTCGTAGATGCAGGAAGATAACGCTCTAAAAATGATTCATACGCGTGAAACATATCACCTTCAGATGTAGTTGGGTGATTTACTGTCTCTGAAACTGTATCCACTGATCTTCGTCGACGATTGGTATAAAGTACAGGAGTATTGGGTACATTAAATATCAAATCCTAAGTCGGTTAGGCATAACAAAATAAAAATCAGTTACCGACAGGAATAAATAAATGAGAACATGCTTATATTTGATGGTATTAGATGGTTGGAGGCAATCGGCAGGAAGCCTTGGACCTACGTTTCGTGCTAGTTGGCACTCGTTAGCAAGGCGTATCTGCAACCTTCCTGCCGATTGCCTCCAACCATCTAATACCATCAAATCAATGTGCACCGTGATGGTGAGCTAGCTAGAATGGTGGTCACATTACAACCTGGCTGACAGAATTCAGTCTACACCAATCAGAGGACTAGATGCATCACACTAGTTACTAGTGTCAAATCAAAACATGCTTATATTTTCATACTCTATTTGATTATACATCTAAGGTAAATGAAATGTACAATTTGGAAATGAATTTGAGATGGGTACTTTTGCACATTTCCTTGTCAAATTTTACCACATTTAATTTCGGAGACCAAAATTATTTTGATTACAGTATGTGAACTGCTTGTTGTCATTAATAACAATTAGGAAATCAAGTATAACCTAAATATTCCACTGACTGTTAGATATGATACCAGTCATTTCAACCAGTACTAACCAGCCGTTATTAGCTAGGTAGCAATCATCCAAACACCAGGTAGTCGTTTTTCTCGTTTGGGGTAGAAACTCATCCGTGGTGTATCCAGTTTGACTAAGTTCAGAGAACCAAATCATTTCAAACCACCAGGCATTCTAGCTAAATACTTGGGTGAACCGGTACAAGGTTAAATCAAAGTTCAAAAGTACTTTGGTAAAATAAAAGATAAATTCCAGGGTAAACCCAAGCAAACGAAAGATATAGTAGTATGTTTTTGGACTTGAAAATTATAACTACAAATTAATTTACTATAATAATAAAAATATTTCCATAACTTCTATCCAGTTTCAGTGTTAGTCATGTATAAATACTGATCGTTTACAATGCACACTGAACTACTTTAGCAGCTAAACAGATTCAATGGTTAAATTATTAATTAGATAGTACAAAATTGTTGTAGTGGCCTTACACTGGGATATTCTGTTGCTCTAAATATCTTACTACTCAACTCAGTTTATCACTTTAACCTGAAATATGCTCCTCAATACGAATAATTTTATTTCCAAAGCATAAAAAAGGTTTTGTGGTATGCAGTAAAGCTATCGTGATATATTGCAATAGTTGTGTATAAATTTTCATTGCATGGAGGATTTCATCATGAGCTGATATCAGTTAGAGAAATGCAATCCTCCATGCAATCAAACAAAAATCCCTACAAAACCAATACTTGAAAATTAATCTGATGCTCACTAGCGACTGGCCCTATTCAGGCAGTTCACCTGAGGTTCTAGTAGGAAGTCGTGACCGATAGGGTATAGAAGGTTGAAGATGAGGCAGTAACTCATCGAAGAAGATATTGCGAAATGGCCGCGCTATGTCGTGAATTGGCAGAAGTTGGAATTCAAGGATCATTGGGTCGGGTCCTAGTGGCTCAATGGTCTACGAGCTCGCCTTATAACCAGAAGGTCCTGTCTTCAAACATCTATACATCTACTTTCAACAAAAGTCTTGTGTCACACGTCACGATGATTACCAGTAACGTACAGATTACTGATCCAATGCTCTACTAGCTAACCTGGAAGAAGACAGTAAGAATTCATGGACTGTTGGGTTCTATCCCAGTGACTGAAAGGTAACGTGTGCATATCGTAACTTTAGATTCCCAGGTTCGATTTCCAGTGAGTACATGATTGCGTACTGATGAAAAGTTCTAGACACGAAAAAACTGTCCGGTAGTCCTTGCCTTCCAAAGACTGTGCCTTTCCTTCTAAATTATATCAGAATACGATGAAATCTCACTTTTTAATAGTTAAGTCTTTACGATATATTTTGTTTGTAAACATGATTTTGTTTCGCTGTACTGCTTCTTTACAACCCTGTAAACGATTTTATATGCTTTGACAGCATAAGATATAGTATGATTAAATTTCAATAAGTTGTATGAATTCAGACAATCTGATCACCAATATTCTGTGTGTAGATAGGTAATGTTGAGGAGAAACATAAGACAGAAGTAAATTTCTTCACCAAAAGTTATTCTTTCTGTTGTTTTTTTTTGCCGGTGGGGGGGCTTAGTTGAATCACTGGACTACATGCACTTCCATACAATATAGTGTATGAAATTTTATCCATTTCTTATTGTTTTAATCATTCAATTATGTCCTTGAATCACAAAGTCTACTTACGCACATTTTTAATTGGCTTTCAACCTACTGATGTGCATTTCTTGAAGGAAATGAAAGAAAAATACCCTAATGGGATAGGTTTGTGCCTCAGATCGAATGAAGCTGCGTCACGCAATATGTTATCGATTACTATTTTACATGAAGATCCTGGACGAAGAGAAATGGTGACAAATTACGCTAAGAATTTTCTAGATTGTGCATATATTTTATACAGAATAAAGCTGTTAGTATCATTATTAAATATATATATAAATACTAATTTGTTTAAAATGTATGAATTTCTGATTTCCAAAAATACAAAACAAAACATTTTGGTTTGCTTACTCTGAACTGCTTTTTAGCCTCACATTTTGTTGCATCTAAACTTGCATCACACCATTCAATTCGATAACCACGGAAAAATCCTCTAATATTAGCCTTTTCATTAGCTTCTAATACTTTCAACCGTAGAAGAATTCCTTGTGAAGTTGTATTTAGTAAAACTGGCGCAGGTGGAGCAACTGTCGGCATAGCTTCACTAGAATAACCTAAAGCCACAGTAGGTGATTGAGTACTGTCACCTTTTTCATTACGACTTTTAATAGTTACCTAAACGTAATAATTAAATTTCAAAAAAACGCTTTATACGGAATGACAATGAAGTTAGGAAATTCAGCAGATTAAAATATTGAAAAATTTAATTTTATTTACGTATCAAACAGAGGCAGAGTTCTACAATAGCGTCCCAGGGAATGAGAACGCACAAGTGACCTTCAGCCGACCAATCAGAAAATAGGAGGATTTTTACATAAAATTTTACGTATATTTACACAAAAAAGAATATGAAAAAAACATGATACAGGGTATTTTTGTCTATTATGAGATAAAAAGATCTCCCAATTATATTGAAGAGTTTCAGTTTTTAAATTAAATCAATTTCTAGACAAACATTCATCCAGGTGACTAAAAGTAACTTGGTTTTGAGAGCCGTTAATAGCTCTGATTCTATTTTTCAGTCTTCCCCAGAAACCTTCGATTGAATTAGTATAAGTACCGGTTCTGGGATCGACGAATTCAACCAAATGGTTTACCCGATGATGTATAAATCCCAAAGCCGATAGTCGATTATATCCTGCCCATTCATCCGTATTAATGGTAGTGCCTGGCAAGACCAGGCTTTGAATAATAGGGAGGAGTGTATCAGCACTCCTATCTGGAATAAGTTCGATGAATCCTTTCCGAATCTGGGTGTCGTAAATACCCAGAATCCGAACGTTATTTGCCCTAGCACGTCCTAGATTGTACTTCTTCTTTATAAGCAACGTTTAATCGATATGAACTAAGACACCGACTCCTGCCAACACTTGAGTAATACTATTCATTTTCTACGATGCTAAATCTCGACGAAACTAAAACCACTGTACAGTAGACGTTAACGTATTATCTGTCTGAGTGGCAGTTGATCTCACCCCGGTCTTTAAAATCCAGTAATGGCACAGAAACAGGATACTGGTCAACGAAAATTTCAATTTTTCAAAGAAAGCTCCTAAAAGACAATCAACTGAGAGTTTCACTTACCAGTACGAATACTTGTTCGCTTCCTACACTGCGTACATCTAAATATATATCCATCAAGGACCTGGGTATACGGCTACAGGTTCATCGAAGCACCACAACTACATATCCGAGTACGTCCTATTAATCCATTATCTAGACAGTATTGAAATACGTGCTCTGGCCGAAATTTGCATCTGAGCAGATGGACAGAGGTCAGTTTCGCGCTAGAATAATGGTAAGTTTCCTCAACCAATGACTAGCAAGCGTTCAAGGTCATTTGAGTGTTCGCACTCCTGGGACGCTATTCTTATACTTCGCCCAAATAGATTTAGACACTGCATATCTTATCAACAAAAAGACTGATAAAATATAATAGTGATTCATTCACAGCGCGTTTTATAACAGTAGTTCATCTAGTATCATGTAATCATAATAAGTTTGCCCATATACATATACGTACTTAAATAGTCTGCACTGATTCTTAATTTAAAGGTAGGCAGCAGAATGGTTTCATGTGCTGACAACACTTATTTGGGAAGTTGCATCAACACTAACAAAATAAGTACTGACGAAATCTTGTTTTTCATTTGTCAACTAGCCTTATCTTTTGTGCCGATGTAACATCCAACTACCAATAAACAAAACGTGTGAACTGCACAGTATTCCAGTTTCCGTCCATCTCTACGGCTGCATTCCAAGACCGTTGAAAGTGGAAGATAGGAATAAGTCGGTCATCTTTAACCAAAGTTGTATAAGTTTCATCTCTCGTGTTAAGCTGTATAATGTTGCGAGCAAAACTGAAGGCAGGTGTAAAGTATAAGTTAAGAAATGGAGGACAATCGCCTATTCTGCGAAGCTGCATAGATTTAGGTAGCAAGGACACGTGATACGCACAACAAGCCATCTCTTTCTTAGTCGAACAATGTTAGTTGACATAGGATTAGATTGGAAAAGATCTAGAGGTGGTCATATCAAAGATAGGATCAGCCCATGAAATTTTTGACTACTGGTTTGAGCTGTGTAAGGCGGCGTAGACTGCCCGACTAAAGTACTCTTGAGACACTAGAATCCAGTGACTGGAGATTGATCATTATAGGGTCCAAAATCGTTCTCAGTATCTTAAACTCATTCAATATTTGTGATCTTCCGGATCCATTGAATTCTCAGTATTCTCCGCTTAATTATTCCTCCTACGGCAAATTACTATTTATTATAGTCCTTTTGAATATCTTCTTTAAATTTATGTCTAGTTTGTGAATCGTGGTAATTGAAATTGCTTCAGTCTTGTGCAAAGCTAATGTGGCATATTTGTAAAAGTAATTGGTCGCCCATTAGACAATAGCAACAGTGTGATCGAGATTAGTAGACCCTAATGAAATTTGAAAATCCCAGTAAAACTTAACTTTACCCGTGCGTGCATTTGTACACAAGCTTGCAATAATTTGGGATAAAATTAAAATTAACACAATGGTGATAGATACTGAAAACAGAAGTCTTGTTTTTCAAGTATTGGTTTTTGTAGCGATTTTGTATGATTGATTAAAGGATTTCATCATAAGCTGACATCAGTTAGCGAGAAGCCATGACCAGTAGGGTATAGCAGGCTGAAGGTGAGGCAGTATCTCATCAAAGAAGACACTGCGAAGTGGTTGCACTCTGTCGTGAATTGGCAGAAGTTGGAATTCATTGCCTGACAGCTAAATCGGGCTCCAGTCGCTTAATGGTTCATTGAGCTCGCCTTGTAACCAGAAGGTACCGGGTTCGAAACCTGGCATTGGGGGCGTACTGATGAAAAGTCCCAAACGAGGACGACAGAAACAGCTTTCCAGTACTCCTTGGTGGTTTTCCAATGGTCCTCTAACCGATGTCAGCTCGTGACGAAATCCTCCAACCAAAGAAAACTTTTTTTAAACCCAGGATAAAAATGTTACTTGAATACCATTCCAGGATGGAGGACAGATACACATTCTTATGACTTCAGTGCAAACAAATTTACGGACTCAAATATTTTATGCTTTAAAACAAATTATTATTGATTTACAACGAATCCCTCCTATCGCTGCAGATATGAATATGACATATGTTGTACCAGTACAGTACAGAAGAATGCATAAAATGAAAGTGGAAAAATATCATTTATATGAACTACTTTCTAGGTGAAAACCAATATGGATGTTAGGTGTTTATAGGTTACTGTTATATGTTGATCTATTATTGTACTTTTTTAGTGGCTATACTATTTCAAATGTATGACAATCCAATCGATAGTTTATGCCCATAATTCACTTGTCTACAAAATAACTCATCACCTATTGTTTAAGTTATTCACATTTCGTGTTGACAGTTTATATCGGACCGAAATGTTCGCTTGATGTTGACATATCGGCCTTTAGCATGGATGCTTCAACGAAGCCTGAAGATGAACATGAAACTGATTTCGTCCTATTTGAGACAAATCACCTGGATACACCTGTATCTTCAATCAGCGATAGTGTTCCCGATGTGTCTCAAACCACACACCCATTATTTGAAACCCAAATGGATGACAAGTGACACTTCTTATGCATCCGGCATCACTCTATTATTATTATTATTATTATTATTATTATTATTATTATTAAGATAAAGCAATAAGAAGACGTAATTTGTCTGAATCGTGTAATGTATTTGCGCTCACAACACATTTCGAACAATCTGATCCAGCACACACTTGTCATAGGAATATATATATGAAATTAATAAAGAGTTAAGAGGTGAGAAAAATAGACTTAGGTCAAGTTAAAAGGACATACTGAAGGTCAAAATAACAATGAAGACCACTAAACCAAATAGCAGAGGTAATAGTACATCTGCTATGGTATCAAAACAAAATTTACCAAAGAAGCTTTAGTGTGATGACAAATTGTTTTTGAACGCATAAAGGTGGTTTAAACTTTCTAATTGCAAGCCGGGGCTTCCACAAACTTTAGGATGAGCCCCAAACACGTTTTATAGATAGGTTTAAAAGATTTCTTAACGTCAATTTTATGTTCTGTCTGTATAATATGTTTCGCAATAGAGGAGCTAGGCCTCCTGCTCTCACCATTAATGGTTTCTGAAGATTCCATTTGTTTCTTGACCCATTTAGGAATATGCTCTGAAACCAACTCTTACTTGCAGAAGTCGATGAGTCCTCCCTATATTATTATTATTATTATTGTATCCTTTAGTTCCTAGAGGAACATAGGGCTTCAGCTGCGCACCTCTATTGACTTCGGTTTTCTGACAACTTTTTCACCCTGCTCCAGGTCTGTCCACATGCTTTCATCTCCTCCTCGCATGACCTCCTCCAAGTCACCCTTGGACGACCAATTCGCCGCCTCCCTTTCGGGTTCCACTCGAGCGATGGCTTGTCTAGTGATGTCACTTGATGGTTTCCTCAGCGTATGGCCAATCCATCTCCATTTCTTTCTGCCTATTTGTTTCACAATCGGTTCCTGATTGGTTCGCTCCCAGAGATCCCTGTTGCTGATCTTTTCTGGCCATCTGATCTTGAGTATTGAGCGGAGACAGTTGTTAATGAAGGTTTGAAGTTTGTTTGAGATGCTCTTTATGACTCGCCAAGTCTCTGATCCGTATAGCGAGTAGCACTGACTTTACATTGGAGTTGAAAATCCGGATCTTATTTTTGATGCTGAGTGCTGTTGACCTCCACACAGATTTGAGAGTAATGAAAGCTTGTCTTGCTTTTCCGATTCTGGCTTTGATGTCCTCATCAGTTCCGCCCGTAGTTGAGACGATGCTTCCCAGGTAGGTGAAGGAGGTTGTTTCTTTCAGGTTCTTCCCATTTATGCTTATTGTGGTCTGTTGGTGTTGTTGATGTTGGCTAGGAATCTTCATTATCTCTGTTTTATCTATGTTCACGTGAAATCCTATCTTTGATGCTTCTTCTGCCAACTTGTTACTTTTCACTTGCATATCTTCCAGTTTATGGGAAATCAGACATATATCATCGGCGAAATCCAGATCCTCCAAGTCTTTTGTGTCAGTCCATTTTATACCTGTTCCCTCGTTGGTTGCCGTTGTCTGTCGCATTATCCAGTCAATTGCAATCAGGAAGATCATTGGTGATAGTAGACAGCCTTGCCTCACTCCCGTCCTCACTTCGAAGGCCTCCGTAAGTTTCCCGTTGTGGATTACTTGGCATGCAGCATTGTCGTATAACTGTTGGATGAGATGTATAATTGTCAATGGGACCCCATAGTAGCGAAGTAGTTGCCAAATCACCTCTCGATCGACGCTGTCGAAGGCCTTTTCAAAGTCGATGAAGTTGAGATATATATATATATATATATATATGTGTTCACACGTACATTCACATTGGTAAATACAGTAGGATGTGACATCATTTTTCACATGTTCAAAGGGCTTAAACGGTGGATATATTGGCTTCACATTTCAGTTATTATTATATTTTCAAGTATTGGTTTTGTAGGGATTTTGTTTGATTGCATGGAGGATTTAATCATGAGCTGACATCAGTTAGAGAACCACTGGAAAACCTGGGAGTACTGGACAGCTGTTTCGTCCTAGTTTGGGACTCTTCACCAGTACGCACCCACCGGGATTCGAACCCAGGACCTTCTGTGGTGGTTAAGATACTGTTCTGTCTAAGTAGGTTTTCTATAATTATATCTTTTTATTGACCCATCAAGCCGTCGAGTAAGCAATATGTCTAGGAAGGATAAACAATTATCTTCTTCTTTTTCTGCTACAGACGTAAGTGATATGCCATTCTGAAATGAAATCATTCGATTTAAAATTGAGGTGGCAGAACAAGACTTATCACTGGTGATTACAATATCATCTACATACCTTCTATAAAGTGGCACATTTTCGATTAAATCTTCCGATAAATTCTCAATGTACGACATATAAATATGTGCTAAAAGGGGCCCTAACGGACTGCCCATAGCAACACCATCAACTTGGCGGAAACAATCGCCTTTAAATGAAAAACCTAACATTGTCAGTACATAGAAGTAATAAATCCCTTAAATAAGATATAGAGAACGGGATGAAAAAATTGTTTGTGGAAATATAATCACACAAAATGTCAACTGTTTTGAGCAAGGGCACATTAGTGAATAGCGAGTTTACATCAAAAGAGCACATATTCTTGTTCATAATATTAATATCGTAAAGAAAATTAACCAATTAACCAATTCAAGTGTATCTTTTAACACATACTTACAGAATTGTGTTTTGTCCTTTTAACTTGACCTAAGTCTAATTTCTCACCTCTTAACTCTCTCCTCATCAACTTCATATATACATATATATATATATATATATGAATTGAATTTTTGATTTTCCCGTCGATTGTTTGGACCGAAGTGCTCGGTCTCAGGTTGACATGTCGGCTTCTTGTGCAGATGCTTCGACGATGTCTGGGCATTTAATTAGTATACAATTGGTGGATGGTGGCTAGCAGTGGAATCCAGGTACATCCAGCTGACGAGTCCCAAATAGGACGAAATGCGCATCCTGGATTCCACTGCTAGCCACCATCCACCAATTGTATACTAATATATATATATATATATATTCTTATGACAAGTTCGCGTATTAAATAAAGTATGATTATATTTCAATAGTTTACACACAATGATAAGTCTTGTTATTGGTAATATTTCGAGCAAAATTACTGCCCGTGTTCACACCACTGTTGGAATTGTTTTATTCACACATTTATGATTTGTACTCATATATAGAGTTCATTGTTTTGTTGAAGCCTTATTTTCCTCTAGGAATTAAAGGATATAATAATAATAAATTATACATATATATATATATATATATATATATATATATATATATATATATATATACCTAGGGTATATGGCAGGATAAAACTGCATAAATAGGGATATCCAAAGAGACCGATAGTAGACTTCAGAAACACACCAACGTATATGCTATCAAGATTTCTCTCCACAATAGTAAGACCGACAAGAGACAACTCAAAAGCTAGAATAGTAGATTCATTTGAATTAGTGAGGCGACTAAAAATCACTAAAATAGAGGTAGAGAAAATACTAGTCAGCTTTGATGTAAACAGTCTTTATACGAAAATACCCATTCAAATGGCCATGAATGCACTGAAAGAGAAACTAAAAGAGGATAATGGCCTGAAAGACAGAACACAATTATCCGTAGAAGAGATAATAAAAGGGGTGGAATTCTGTCTGACAACGACATATTTCATATTCGAAGGGAAAATATACCAACAAAATGAGGGAGTAGCTATGGGATTGCCTATCTCACCAATAGTAGCTGATATATTCATGGATTATTGGGAAGAGAATGCCTTTAAACTATTCAGGTCATCACTAAAATGTTGGTGGAGATATGTACACGACACACTAATAATAGTGAAAAAACGATACTGAGAAACTTTTCTCACACATAAACAGCCACGTTGACTCAATAAAATTCACTATGGAATTAGAGAATGAAATTGGGAAACTGCCTATGTTAGACTGCAAACTACAAAGAATGACAGATGGTAGCATAAATACAACGATATATAGAAAAACCATACACTCTGGAAGATTTCTTGATTATCACTCAGCTCATTCACTCACGGTAAAACGAGGATTAATACAAGGTCTTGCAGATAGAATATGTAGACATACAACAACACAAGAGGACCAGTGTAAAGAAATAAAAGTCCTATTCAAAATGCTACTCGAAAACAACTGCCCTAAAGAAATTATAAAAGATAATATAAAAAAGAGAAAAGAGAGGGTAAAACCGGAGAATAACAAGATGGAAGAATGGACAAAGACAGTCACAATACCATATAAAAATGGTACATCGGAGGCAATTCAAAGAAACCTCAAAAATATCGGCATTCGAACAACGTTTAAACCGACGAACCTAATCAAAAATTAAAAAAATCCCATCTCATAAAAATGATGCATAAAAACAATCTGATTTACAAAATATCTAGTGCACAGTGTCCGGCTAAATATGTGGGGCAAACGCCCAGATCACTCAAAATAAGAGTGGATGAACATGAACGCCTAACCAAAGGTCAACTAACAGGAACACAAACCTACAAGAATCTTGAAAAAAACTCATCGATAGCTACACATGCATGGGACAAAAACCACAATATCGATTGGAACAATGTGTGTATTCTAATAACAAACATGAACAAATGGAAAGAAAGACTCATAACAGAATCGATATTCATTAAAGTCACACCGGATACATGTAAAAAGGGTGACTTAGTACAACTATCAACAACTTGGAATATAATTCTGAATACAAAAACATGAATGAGCAAAAAAACAAAACAAAAAAAACAACAAAACAATGAGCTCTATATATGAGTACAAATCATAAATGTGTGAATAAAACAGTTCCAACAGTGGTGTGAACACGGGCAGTAATTTTGCTCGAAATATTACCAATAACAAAACTTATCATTGTGTGTAAATTATTGAAATATAATGATACTTTATTTAATCTAATCTACAATGCTCAAACATTTTACCGATATTAAGTCCGTATATGCTGGATCAGTTTGTTCGAAATGTGTTGTGAGCGCAAATACATTACACGATTCAGACAAATTACGTCTTCTTATTGCTTTATCTAAATTCATTAAGGGAACTAATTGTTTTAAATATTAATATTAAGTTAATTTTCCTTTTCTATTGATTGCTTATGCTGCATAGAAGTGCTCGATCCGACTGATAAATCTTATACATACATTTATATGATTTATAGAAATACTGTGTGAGTCGGTGCCATAACGGTTAGGACGCTCGCCGACTATGCACAAGGTCCGGGGTTCGATCCCCGGCCACAGACGCACTCCTTTACCTCGCTAAGCCAGAAATAAAGCTGGTAAAGAGGAAAGGTTGGGCATGAGGCTAGCAACCTCATCCAGTAAAAAATAAACACTGCTACAGAAATTCCAAGTTTCTAGCTTGAAGCCCTATGTTCCTTCGGGAACGTGAAGGAATAAATCTAATCTTTGGAAGTACTGTCCATGACTAAAATTCCACTCCCAATATTTACCGATATTAACAACAACAAGAACAGCAAAAAAAGTAGCAACTTACACGAAATAATTTATATGGTTCAATCTCTGAAACTAAAGTACCCGCTTTAAATGACGTATAAACAATACGATCAGTTCTCCAATCTCCGATTGTTGTACTATTTATTGCATCTTGTGGAACTGAAGCACAGTTCAAGCATTGAACAGTAAGGATATATCCCAGATTATTTCCATTATGTTCTATATACGGAAGAGTCTATAAAATAGAAACGTAAAATAATAAACATAAGGCTTAGACCACTAGAATAAGAATACACATACATGTCAATATATAAATACGTAGAAAAATTAAAAAGTGCAAGTGTTCATTAGTTTAAACATCAAATACAAGTTTATGTTCATGGATAACCCCCATCCAGGCATTAATGAAAACAAAACACGTAGTTCAGTGAAGAGTCTCTTTTCGGCGCCGAATTCATTTTCTTAGCTGTATAATCGCCAATAATATATATGTGATATTTTGTGTGTAAGTGTACATTAAGTTTGTCAAACAAAAATACAATTGGTTATGGTTATTTTAACTAAACAGGTGAAGATTGGTAATTGGAGTTACGTAATACAAAATCAGTCAAGAAAATTAGGTGTTAATGAAATTAGGGTAGTAACAAAGGTGATGAGTTGTCACAAACAGTTGTTAAAAAAGAAGTTATTTCATAGTCTGAATAGTTTGATGAGTGAGTTTTACTCAGGACATACACAGAAACAAAGTAGATAATACGAAATTACGTAAGATTTCTAAATGAATACAAGAATTATAAGCAATTAAAGAACAGGCAAACAAACGAAATTAAGTCATCAAAATCAACAAAGTTGTTACCATGGTAGTAGAAGTGGTTGAGTAATTCTCCTTTGTATGCACAGCTCCGGTTTTTCTATGTGAATGGCCAGAGCTTCAGCGATACAAAGAAGATAAAACCGTATTGCCTTTGGTAGGTTATTCGTGACTCTCTAGATTACTTGGAAGCAGGAGGCGTTTGTTGAAATGGAATGATCAGTGTTAACCAGGTGTTTAATTATCGCCCTCCTTATTGCACCACTGTTGCCTTTTCGCAATCATGCTGGATAGTGTTCTTGAATCCTCTTGGACAGAGTGCGTGTCGAACGACCGGTGTACCTGGCTTCGCAGCAGCAGGTGAACTGACATATGCACATAGAAGTGGTCAGATGCGGGATCTTGTCCTTGAAGTTTCTGCAGATCAGCGGGAGACTGGAGAACACTATTCTTAGCGTTGCTGCAAAAAATGTTCTTCTCAGAGATGATGTGATCCTTCTCTTGAGAATATCGCTTGTCAAATCTCCCTTGAAATCCAAGTTCATGTAGAGTTTCTGTTCAGGTTTAAGTCAAGTTTATGTAACAGTGTGCAGCACAAATGAAAATTCATAAAAAGAAACCTAAATTCAATACAATCAAGTTTGACTATACACTGCCATCAGTCACAGAACTGCTGGCAAACCAAGAAGTACTGGGCAGTTATTTCACCCCAGGTTTAGGGACTCTTCACAGTATGCAGCCATTGAGGTTCGAACTCAGTACCTTCGAGTTAAAAGACAAATTTGAAACAAAATCAAATCCCCACAAACTATCCATCATTCTCACTCCCTCATTGGACAATAGAGTTGATGTAGCAATACGACTGCCCTAATGAATTAGTGAATTGTAGCTTTTTGTTGTCCTCGCCTCATTATAAAAAGTATACAGTTATCTGTCCTCACCATCAAATGACGGTTTACTCCCAACTAATAAATAAATAAACACAGGAGTCAGACAAGGGTGCTTATTATCTATCACCGATGATATTCCTAATTGTGGTGGACTGGATCATGCGTCAGACTGTGGGAAATGAGAAGACAGGGATATCCTGGACCGAAGCGAAGAACCTAGAAGACCTGGATTTCGCGCGTGGATGATATATGTTTGATGTCACACACACAAAATCGAAGACTTACAAGCAAAAATTGACAAACTGGCCGAAGAAGCAGCTGGCGAAGACAGGACTCTAGGTGAACATGGACAAGACGGAGCTTATGAAAATAACCAACCAACTACGACAACAACAGCAGCAACATCCAGCGCCAATCACCATCAAAGGGAGGGATTTGAAAGAGGTTATTTCATTCACTCCCTTATCTAGGGAGCATTGTCTCAACTACAGCCAGTCGGAACGGACGAGGATGTCAAATCGAGCGAGAATTGGGAAAGCAGGCGAGAAACACACACATTCATCAACCTGAAACAACCAATCTGGAAATCTTCGTCACTCAGCCAGCACCAACAACAACAATTCCGTCGGATTTTCAATACAAACGTCAAGCCAGTCAGTCAGTCCCTCTTTACGGATCAGAAACTTGGAGGGCGGGTCACAAAAAATACTTCCAACAACCTGTTGCAGACCAGACCTTTATCAACCAACAGCTTTCATCGCTGGTTCTATACTGAAAATCAGATGGCCTGGCCGGAAAGAATCACCAACAAGAAACTGTGGCTGGGAACAAACAAAACAAGAACCAATTGCCAACCAACAAATATGCAGGAGAAAGTGGAGATAGATGGATCGGACACTCGCTGAGGAGGCCACCGCTGGTTGACATCCCGCGTGCGTCAGGCCATTGCTCGAGTGGAACCAGGGCGAAAGGGAAGCGGCGAGTGGGACGTCAGTGCAAGGGTGACATGGAGGAGATCGTGTGAAGAGGAGTTGAAACAGCATGGACTAATATGGATGCAGGTGAAAAGTAAAGCAGAACACAGAAGCCAATGGAGATGTGTAGTTGAAGCTCTATGTTCCACTAGGAACCTAAGAGAACAATAATAAATACTAATAATAAATGCCATTTAAGCATACTTTGAATATACACTTCTGACAGTATTTCTATAGAATGTTGAAAGCGATTTTAACATCAACCGCATGATTCATTTCAAATTTATATTCTATCATGGACGGGACTTGTAGTCTACTGCTGGTGATTTGCTGACTTTTGAAATTTTGTTGTATTTCAAATCATTTAGACATACATTTCTTAGCTGTCAACTGAAAAATGAGATTTCTGTACCCTATATATATATATACTTACAGTAAGAGATGTGACGTAACCACTTCTGCAATGTTGAGGCTTGCACTAGAGCATTTGTTTCACTTAATGTCAGTAAAAATTTGAAGGACTGTGGATTAGGTCAAATACATAATAATTATATTCTAATAGTTTACACACAATGATAAGATTTTGTATTTTGGTTATATTTCAGGAAACATTAGCTGCCCGTCTTCACACACCAACTCTTGGAATTGTTTCCTTTTTAATTCATACATTTATAATTGGTACTCATAAATATACATAGTTCTTTTTATGTCCATTGGTTTTTGTGTATTCAGAATTATATTCCAAGTTGTTGACAGTTGTGCTAAACCACCCTTGTTACATGTATCCGGTGTGGACTCAATGAATACAGATACCGTTATTAGTATCGCTTTCCATTTGTTCATATTAGATTTCAGAATACAAATATTGCTACAATCAATATTGTGGTTTTTGTCCCATGCATGTGCAGTCATAGACGATTTTTTTCTAAATTGTTGTAAACCTGTTTTCCTATCGAATGACCTTCAGTTAGGCGCTTACGTTCATTCACTCTTATTTATGAATGATCTGGATGTCTGACGCACATATTTAGTCGGGCACTCTGCATAAAAAATTTCGTAAATGACAAATCCGTCATATATCTGTCATTTTCATTGGATCTTTTAGTTAATTCATTTTATTTTTAATTAAATTCGTTAGTTTAAAGGTGGTGTGAATCCCAATATCTTTGAGGTTTCTTCGAATTGCCTCTGATTTACCATTTTTGTATGGTAGTGTGATCGTTTTTTTGGTCACCCTCATTCTTGTCATTGTCTGGTTTTACCCTCTTTTTTCTCTTCGTTAAATTATTTCTGATATATTCGTTTGGGTAGTGTTGTCGAGTAACGCTTGGTCTTGTTGTAAGTCTACGTATTCTATCTGAAAGACTTTGTATTGATCCTCGTTTTGCCATGAGTGGATGAGCTGAGCGATAATCAATCAAAGAAATTCCAAGAATAAATAATTTTTCTATATAGCATCTTTTTTATTCTGCCGTCAGTTACTCTTTGCACTTTGAAGTCTAATTATAACAGTGTAAATTAAAAACAAAACAATTTCAACAGTTGATGTGATCATGGACAGTAATTTTGCTCGAAATATTACCAAAAACAAAAACTTCTTATTGTGTGTAAACTATTAGAATATAATTATTATTTATTTCATGTGTTTCACTCCTTGATAACGATGAACCAATGTCCCGTGGTATGTTTCACAGACTTAGACCGGAACAGACAGGATTCAGGAGAAACAAGTCATGTATTCATCAAATCGCCACTCTACGGATCATTATTGAACAGAGCTTGGATTGGCAGTCACCTCTCTATCTCAACTTCATCGACTCTGAAAAGGCATTCGACAGCGTCGATCGAGAGGTGATTTGGCAACTACTTCGCTACTAAGGGGTGCCGCCGACAATTATACATCTCATTCGACAGTTGTTGCTTGCCAGATAATCCACAACGGGAAACTTATGGAATCCTTCGAAGTGAAGACGGGATTAAGACATCCCTGCCTCCTTTTGCCAATGATTTTCCTGATTGCGGTAGATTGGATAGTGCGACAGACAGCGGTGGGCAACTAGAAGACAGGCGTAAAATGGACTCACACAAAAAAAATTGGAGGATCTGGACTTCGCCGATGATATAAGTCTGATTTCTCACAAACTGGAAGATATGCAAGTGAAAGGCAACGAGTTGGCAGAAGAAGTATAAAAGATAGGCCTTCAGGTGAACATTTAGAAAACAGAGGCGATGAAGATTCCTGGCCAGCAGCAACAGTAACAACAACAGACAACAATCAGCATAAATGGGAGGAATCTGAAAGAAACAGCCTCCTTTACCCACTCACCTGGGAAGCATCATTTCAACTACAGGCGGACGGAACTGATGAGGATATTAAAGCCAGAATCGGAGAAGCAAAACAAGCTTTCATTACTCTCAAGTCTCTGTGGAGGTCAACAGCACTCAGCATCAAAAATAAGATTTGGATTTTCAACTCCAATATGAAGTCAGTACTGCTATACAGATCAGAGACTTGGCACGTCATAAAGAGCATCTCAAACAAACTATAGACCTTCATAAACAGCTGTCTTCGCTCAGTACCTTGCTCGAGATCAGATGACCAGAAAATATAGGAAATAGTGAGGGATCTCTGGGAGCGAGCCAACACAGTAGGAACCAGTTGTGCAACAAATAGGCAGGAAAAAATGGAGGTGGATTGGCCATACTCTGAGGAAACCATCAAGTGACATCAGTAGACAAGCCATTGCTCGAGTGGAACCCGAAAGGGAAGCGACGAGTTGCTCGTCAGTACGAGGGTGACATGGAGCAGGTCATGTGAAGAGGAGATGAAAACATGTGGGCAGACTTGGAGCCAGTTGAAAACTCTAGCAGAGAACCGAACGCAATTGATTCTTTATTTATTTTTGATTACAGCTTGATTCCACACAGTACTTTTTGGTAGAAATATGGAATTTTCAGCCTGGATATCGGTAGCCCAAATTTTGCAGGCCAACCATAGATATCAGGTGTGCGTCGGCAGGGAATAGAACCTCAGACCATGTGCATGGTCGGCGAGAGTCCTAACCACTGTGCCACCGACGTGCAGCTGAAACCCTATGTTCCCCTAGGAATTAAAGAAAATAATAATAATGTTTTAGAGATAGCGGATTTCAGCCTCTGTCTCCAAAATCATACTACTGGCTTCCCCGCCGTAAGATAATTTTTGATAAGACAATCTCCTTCGGAACATAGTACACTGTAAGCTTTGAAGTTAACTGCCCTCTACATCTATCCAGAAAATCTAAAGGATATCTGTTTTTATGCAAGGTATTGGTCAATATATATATGGTTTTGTCAATATGCATCTTTTGTAAAGCGACTTTATCAAACAAACCACATACTATATTTTCAAAATATGTCATAAACACTCCGAAATCTCCTCTTTTGTTTATTTTAATTGGTTTCTCATTTTTACTAAATGCGCTCTGTTTCTGCTTTGTCTTGGCCAGTGAAATGTCTACCTCCTTTATAAATTCACCATCATCGGTATTTGGCATGGTGACAGATAATTTATCCTTCAAAGTTTTTATTAAGAAAGGTGTAGCGGTAAATAATTCCCCAAAATTATTGACCACAGCAATCACTCATTGGATGCTGACCACCACTGTTTAAGTCGACTTGTTTAGCTGAAGGCTTCCGGTCAAGCATCCCCGCCATTTGGTACCTCGTCGTGTCACGTGCACGATCACTAGCTAGCTAAGCGTTCGTCTAACGGCTTGTTCTGGCTTCTAAATATATCGCTTGGTTTGGACGATCAATTATTGGCTTTTGCTTTGTCTTTGGTACGCGAGAATAAATTAATTAGAAGTTGTTGAACGAGATATCCGTCAAACCTCTAAAAGGGTTACCTTGTGAATTCCAGTATACTTATAAGCACAGAGAGGAAGAGACAAAACAGTGACGAAGACAACTATGCCTTCAAATATCGACAAAATGCTTCATTAGTTACTATTAGGACTGAAGGAAAAAAATGTGACTTCATTATGTTGTAAGAAATGTTTTATTAAACGTGCTACTGATAAGATTTATTAGTAGTATATAAAGGGACGTTCATCGACAATAAAAACATCAAATTGCAAGGAGATAGATTTGATGTCAGAGAAAGCAAACAATACAGCGTTGCGGAAATGCATGTGGATGTGAAATAAAACACAGAGGAACACAATATAAAGGCCAAAAGTAACACAATAAGGAAAATCTGCGCAAATGAGGCGTTGAAGACAAGATGTACATAATATTTCCATATAGCGATCCAAAATTTCATAGGAAGGTATTTCGGAAATAAATAAGTTGGAATTTTATAAACTATGCATTCACATATTGCCTGAGATAAAGCTTTATGACTTCACCGACCCACAGTGAATTTCTAAAATAACCAACTGTGAATATACTGACATGATACAGCAGACATGTTCTGCTGTTTCGTCATATTTTCAAGTGAGTTGCACACATTTCTGTCAATGTGTGATGTCACAGAAAAACAGTTAGTGAATATATATATATATACATATATATATATAACCTCAAGGAAAGGGCTGCAGGATGACTAGGATATATGTGGGCTGAAGAGTTCCTAAATGGGACGAAACAACTATGCAGTGATCCCTTATTTCTAATGTCCTTTAAATGACGTTAGTTCATGACGACATCTACACTGAAATATATATATATACATATACTTATATGTATAGGTTTTAAAGAATGAGTACCGTAACATTATTATCATACAGAGTATGTATACAGACAAATCTTATTATCAAACTTACTGTCCATCGAATAACTAAGTTATTTCCTATCGTTCCAAATACATAAAGTTCTTTAGGATTGACTGATGGTACACGTCCAGGAATGCCGCATGTTTCTGTTGTCGGTAGACTAGGCAATGATACACCGACACGATTTCTTGTTCGAACACGAAATTTATATTCAATATTTGGTCTTAATACAACCTGGAATATTGAAAAAATATACAAATAATCATTAGGTATAACGTGATTATATATATATATATATATATATATATATATATATATATATATACTAAGAAAATTATATATAGTCCGATGCAAATATTTGAATTAGGCCTGCAGCACTCTATTTGATCTTTTCCAGATAGATGGATATTCACAATATGTGCATATCAGTGATCAACTGTAGTTCATCAAAAAAGGCTCATGTGGCATTTGCCATCTTAGGTCATCTCTGGTAAAGACGTGATGTCCAGTTATCTATCAAAAGGCGTATGTACTACTCAACAGTTGGCTCTGCCCACCTTTATGGCTGTGATAAATGACCAGTGAAAATGGAAGGCTTGAAAGGGCTAGTTGTCTTCGACCATAGGTGTCTGTCTACGTTTTATCTCTCGTGTTAGTTGATACGTTAGAGTGAGTAATATTGAGGTTATGCATCGGATGTTAGGTAAGAAGGGCAATTCAATCGATAAGGTTGTGAAGCTGCATCGGCTGAGATAGCTAGGACACGTATAGCGCATAAGAAGCAATTGCCATCCTCGACGAGTAATTTTAGTCGACACTACATTACGTTAGAAAGAGGTCAAGGCAGGTGAAACTGTGGTGAGAGCTGCCTGCTAGCCAAATTGGTAGACTGATTCAACAACCAATCACAGCAGACTTTGCATAGGCGGATACAGTTAGCATATAGATGATCTGACATTCAAGAAACAGCCACAAAGATTTACTTTCAGTGAGAAACAATCAATCAGAAGACGTTGTTTCTCTGCTAATAATGACGAATAATAATGCACATGAAAATCTATAAATATGTGATGATTTCCTTAATAAACGATCTGTCGTCTGGCCCTTGTCTTCTGTTGTTACAAAACTAAAAAGTGCCATCATTCCACAAAGTCTTTCACTGTTGGTTTGTGTCACGGATGGAGATGCAAACACCCCAGCTGTGTTCCTCTTGATGCTAGAAACCGTTCTTAGTGGTGCATTCACTATTTGTGATCTCTCCATACTCACCAAATTCTTATGTTTTTCCATGTTGCAATTCTTACTCCCTCACATTTCTGTGCATAATAGTCCTCTTGAATTCCATTATGGGTAAATTTCGTTTTGATAAAGTCTCACAGTGTTATACAGTAATATTTACTGATGACGTTTCAAGCACAATTTATTGCCACTCATAATCATATCAAGGTAATCACACGACTTCCTAACTTCATTTATCTAGTTCCATTGTTTTTTCACTTGATTTTATTGGTAGCAGTATTTTCCATACTTCGGGTATGAGTGATGAATCATTTCTATTGCATTTGTTGGGTGTAGACCCGATGACACTTTCATAGTGTTAAAAACAGAACACACCTCTAGCTTCTTGACACACATAAACTCACTAGCGGAGGGAATAAAATTCACATTTGAATCAGAAAACGAACAAAGAGAATTAGTCATGTTAGATTGTAAAATAAAACGAATAGAAGAAGATAAACTGCACACCAGTGTTTATGAAAAATCAGCTCATTCGAATAGATCTTTAGACTTTAATTCATCTCATCCGTTAACTGTTAAGGCACGCTTAGTTAAATGTAGTAGCACTAAGTAGTACAAAAAATAAAACAGATAGAAGAAGCGTTGGTGTCACATAACTATCCTATAAAATTCATTAGGAAGATCATTAAAGGCCAAAAACAAAATAAAAATAATTGTGAAACTAGTAATAATAACATAAATAAGAAAGAATATAAGTCATCCACAATTATACCATATAAAGAGGGGACATCTGAGACACTACGTAGGATTCTGAATAAAATAGGAATTAGGGTGGCATTTAAACCTACAAACTCACTCAGACAGGACAAGCTCTGTAGGTTAAAGGACCCAGTTGACCCAATTAGACAAAATAATATAATTTACAAAATACCCTTCAGTGACTGTGAGGTCAACTACATAGGTCAAACTAGTAGGTCAGGGGTAGTAAGATTGTCGGAACATAAGAATTTAGCTAAGGTAAGGATGGTTGACCCTGAGAAGATAAGTAATTCAGAAAAAAGCTCAGCAATTGCAATGCATGCGCTAACACACAACCACACAATAGGGTGATAGGAGAGGGTTAAAATTCTAAAAAGTAGTCTAGGTAGGTGGAGGGAGAGGTTGATTACTGAATCCTTGTTCATCGGGTCTACACCCATCACATGTAATTGGAATGATTCATCACTCATACCCGAAGTATGGAAAATACTGCTACCAATAAAATCAGGTGAAAAAACAATGGAACTAGATAAATGAAGTTAGGAAGTCATGTGAGTAACTTGATACGATTATGAGCAATAAATTGTGCTTGAAACATCATCAGTTAACATTACTGTATAACACTGTGAGACTTTATCAAAACGAAATTTACTCATAATGGAATTACACTCTACCACAGTGTAAAAGTTTTATTCTTATATCAGTCCTCTTGAATCTCATTTTTCTCTGTTTTATCTGCCTTTGTGTGCTAAATAAAGTGTAGCAACCTGGGCTAACACACTTCTGTGCAAAGTTCTATGTTGAAACTCAGTCAATCAGTAGGTCAGCTAGCGGAAGTTGTTTACAGACTTCTGCCCAGCTACTGAAATATCTGCAAAAAAAAATCATCCAGCAGATAACTGATCCAGATCATAGCTAGATGCAAGAGCTTTTATGTTGTTAGTTACCTGAATTAATATTCTTTTTTCAGCCGCAGACGAATCAATTTACAATCAAGTTACATTAACAAGAAATTAACTTGTTTCTACATCTTTGGTTATTCAAAAACATGTCAGAATAATGTACAAAAACCACCCGCTCAGAAATTTCAGAAATTCCGTTTTATCCCAAAGGCAAGAACTAACCTTCACCGAAGTACTTTGAACTAAACCAGTTAGATTAAAGATTTCAGCTGGATACCAAGTCTCACGTTCATATTGAGTTGAATATTCAACCATATACTCCATAATAGGAGCATAATTGTCTGATCCTGGATACCAGGTAACAAGTGCCAATTCTTCTTTAATGAAATCGACACAGTTCACCTGAACATTAATTGCTTGTTCTGGTCGACCTTAGAAAAAACAAAATTAAGAAACTGGTGACAAATAGAGATAATTCGATGAGATCAATTATCCTACAGAATTCCCTGTTAGGGTACACTACTAATCCATATTATAAATGGTATGAATTTGATTGGTGTAAAGTTTGGCCATGGATTGAAAGCAGTTAAAAGGGCCAATGAAAACCAAGGAGTACTTAGTGGACAGTTGCTTCACCCTAGTTTGGCACTCATCACTAGTAGCCACCTGTGACCGTACCGTTTGCCATTCAACCGCTGGAAAGCAGTCACTCTAATGACCCGTGAATTCTCTATTCTGTCAATTCATAACTGTCATCCAATGTCGTCGGCGAGTATTTATGCACACACCTCATTATTTATTTTCATATCATAACTATCACGTTCAAGGTCTAGTCATCAGTAGGTAGCATAACAAAGTAAATGTTTGTAAAAGACACTCTTGGCCTAATATAATCCTTCATTTACAAAAATATTTCATAAATGTGACGATTTTCCTATGAAAATTCACTTTAATTTGAATCCGTTTTTAAGTACTCTGGTGTATGCCTCTAGCTTCACATGCCACTTTGAATGATTCAACAATGTCTCCGGACCACTCAACTCAAAGAACACAATCACATCAAAATCATTCACCTAAGCTACAAATTTTCTCTATTATTTCAAAAAGGCATCATTTCAAATGAATCATACAAAACTTAGAAGCAAAAATGGTCATTGAACACTGAACAAAGAGAAATGAAATTACATTGTTTACCTTGAACAAGCAGTGGTGCAGTTGCTGTCGCAAAATCTAATCCATTACTAGCATTACAACGATACTGTCCAGTATCACGTGGTTGAGCACCGCTTAAAACTAGTGCATAATCAAACCAAACTTGTTGAATTCTTGGAGTTATATCTGGATCAATATAATTATCATCTTTATACCAGGTAACTTTCAAGTTAGACAATTCAGCCGGGTCAGTTTCAGCGGTACAAACAAATTTAACAACATCATTTTCATATACTCTTGTATTAATCGGAGCCAGTACCACTTTTGTCTTACGTCTTACTAATAATTTTCCAGAAGCTTTTTGACTTCCAAATGGATTTGTTGCTGTACATTCATAGACACCAGAATCTGTTATAGCTACGGACTATTAAAAATGTACAAAAAAATATTTAATAGTTAAACTTCAACCAGGGAAATAACTATAGAAGATCAAGTGGATAACTTTTGTCAGTAATAATACGAGTTAATAGAATATTTTATTCACAAAATCATTTAACAAATAAAACTATGTTACATTATCAAAAGAACGCTGGTTACAAACGAAGGTAAAATAAACTGGATGGTAACAGTTCTCGTGCTGAACATCTGTGATACTAAAGATAGCTGCTAAACACTTTTAAATTTCATTCCACCTACCTCATCCAGTATTCACTGTAGCTATCATCAGAGCAAAGTCGGAGATACTACGTAGCATCACTGAGGAAACCGGTGTGGAAGAATATAAGAACCATCTGAAAGTGACGTTGAAGGAAATATGCACAGCTGGTACAGGAAGACAGAAGTGACTTAAAAAGGAATAGCTCTCAGTGCACATTCGGGTCAAACAGAACAGAGAAGGATGGTGAAACAAAAGGTAAACTGTTTTGTAGATAGACAAAAGAAGGTGAAGCTGTGTTCAGTATACAACACACTGAATAAAGAAGTGAAGAAGAGTACCAGGAAAGATAAAAGACAATTCTACAACACACTAACAACTGAAGCAGAACACGCTATAGGTAAAAGAGACTTCAGAATGTTATATCATATAAGCATGTGTCCATCAAAGAAGAACAAATTAGGTCTCTTCAAGAACTGGCTTAGAATCAAGTTCTTCTCCACACCAACCAAAATATTAGGTCATGTCATCCTAAAGAGAGAATAAAAACACACTGGATTCAGAACTTCACAAGCCAGGAACAAACTGGATTTAGAGAAGGCAAATCAGGTGCTGATCAAATCGCAACCCTACGCATAACACTTTAACAGAGCATAGAATGGTAGTCACACCTCAACCTCAGTTTCATCGACTTTGAAAACGTCCCTGATGGCGTTCGCCTCAGAGTAATTTGGAGACTCCCTCAACATTATGGAGTGCTCCAAATTTTTATTAACCTTGTCCAACAGCTATATGATAGTACCACGTGTCAGCTTATCCACAATCAAAAACTAAGTGAAGCATTCGAAGTGAATACAAGGGTAAGATAAGCTGGCTGCCTACTATTACCTATGACATTCTTAATTGTGGAGGACTACATTATGCGTCAGACTGTGCGTGGCAATAAGAATACAGGAATACGCTGCACTGACCGGTAAGAAGACTCTAGAAGATCCGGATTTCACGCGTGAATGATTTGCCTCTAGTATCACACCTAAATTGGAAGACTTGCAGGCGAAAATCAACAAACTGTCTGAAGAGGCGGGCAGCGAAGACAAGACTTCAGGTGATCATAGAGAAGACAGAGGTGATGAAGATAACCGGTTAACAACAATAGCAACAAATGCCAATCACTCTCTCTCCGGGAGAGATTTGATAGAGGTTACTTCCTTTGCTCATCTAGGAGGTGTCGCCTCAACTACAGGCAGCATGGATCAGGACGTCAAGATCACAGTTGGAAAGGAAGATAAACCTTCACCACTCTAAAATCCCATTGGAAATCTGCACTCAGCCACCTTAAAGAACCCATGTTAAGTCAGTCTGTTCTTCTGAAGGGATAAAAAACTTGGCGTTTGCATCACGAAAAGCATTTTGAACAGGCTGTAAAACCTACTGCTCAACAAATATGACGAAGATAATGGAGATGGATCAGACACAGGCCAGGGAAACCGTTGGGTGACATCACGTGACAGGTGACCCCTCGAGTAGAAGCTGAGTGGGAAACGACGAATTGTGCTTACGTTCGAGAGTGATATGGAAGGGATAGTGTAAGCAGGAGATGAGAGACTACGGGCAGCCGTAGAACCATCTGAAGGGGACTCATTGTTTATCAGACTACTTGAGATGAAGTATGTTTATATGACTAAACTGTATTTTTTTTATTTTTTATTTTTGATTACAGCTTGATTCCACACTGTATTTTTGGTACAAGTATGGAATTTTCAGCACGGATATCGGCAGTCCAAATTTTGCAGGCCAACCATAGATATCAGGTGTGCGTTGGTGAGGGCTCGAACCTCGGACCATGTGCATGGTCGGCGAGAGTCCTAACCACTGTGCCACCGACGCACTGTATGACGCTTCTAGGGTACAGACTTAGATGGGGGCAGCAAAAAGTTCACAGGAGGCAATAATGGTCATATATCGAACGGCCTTGATGACAGTTACTATTGGTTAAATTAAATAAAATTTTACTGTAAATTTTTGGGCCGTTGGCATTTTCCAACTGCGAGTACCACATAGAGTTATCCTCCAAAGTACACAGTAGTGTGGTGAGAGCAGGCTGCTAGCCGATTGGTTGGCACTAATCTACGTTAAGGTCTAGGTCACTAATATGGGCCGTGAGAAATATGAACAAGCCTGAGTCAACAACCAATCACAGCAAAGTTAACGTGGCAGAATATGATTCGCAGAGAGAACTCTATTTGTCAAGGAATCCCGAAACGACCAATCAGAAGCCTGCGTTTGTCTACCTAAACAACCAATCAGATGACTGCGCTTGTCTATAATAATGTAGTTGAAAGATGTATAAATACGTGTTGATTTTCATAATAAAACGATCTGTTGCCTGGCCCTTGTCTTCTGTTGTTACAGTAGTACCAGCACAGACCCTAAAATGACACCTGTTCAAAGCTTTTCATCACCCTGCAACTTCTATATATGCCCACTATTAATGAATTCTTTCTTTTAAGAAATCCTAATGTTTTCAAAGTAAGACCACTGATACAGTCTGAAAGACATCGAACGTACTTGCCTCAGTCTTATTTCAAAATAAAACGGTGATATTTAAGGAAATTAATCATCCTAAACAAAACTACAGTGGAACATCCATTCACCCATGGAAAAAGCTTTGCCCTGAGGACTGTCTCCTGTTGAAAATATGAACCACCTAGACTGCTAGCTTAATCTCTATCCAGACGATCTTCGTGAAGTAGTAGTTTTTAAAACTACTAGTGTCCCCTTTTAGCGGCTTGCTTGAATCACTGGGTCACCTGGATTTCCATACAAACTAAATAAAAAAAAACTTTAAACTGACCTACATCCAATAACTCTACCTGTTTAATTTTGACAGGGTAATCCCGATTTATGAACCACCCGACCAAAAATCAAAACTACTAAAGAATAAAAACACTGGTTTCCAAAAATAACTAGATTAAAAACAAACCTTGTAAAATTTACTTCCAGATAGTATTTTAAAGTGATTCTTACTTCAATGAAAAGATCACCTGATGGGAGAATTTTGTATCGACCACCATTAATTGGTCTTCTGTCTTTAGTCCATGATATCAGAGCTTTTGGTGCTGAAAATGTCTGACAAAATAAGGTAATTTTGTTTCCGTCAACTGCTCGTACAACTGCTTCTGGTGGTTTGATAAAGTATGGTGCTTCACGCATAACATTTACATAGGCGTTAGTAAAAGCATAACCAAATTTATTAGATGCATTACACTGAATAACTGCACTGTCTTTAATTGTCAGATTGTTTAACTGCATAGTCTAAAATGTTAGCAGAGAATTAGAAAAAAAGGATTATAAGATTTAATCAAATCAAATTTCTTAGCTGATATGCTAGTGACAACTAACGCCTGTATGTCTAGTGTTTACGAGGGTTTTATCAATCAGTTTTGTCATATGGCTATCGGTTTGAGTGATATAATAAAATACCACACACTAATGTATGGCGTCCAACGGTGGAGAGCAGTTTTTTATCATCACCGTAGACATGAAATACCACAGATAATCCTTTTGTTTATGAAAGCCATATTCATTTCGCTGGGAACCATATTCACTTTTTCAAAATGTTTTCAAGTTTTAGTTCTATTTCATTTAAGTTAATGCCCCTATATAAATACGACCTTCTTTTGGTGGGCTGGTGGAAACTGGCTTCAAGTCTTACTATTACTTACTATATCTGCAGTGAAGAGCTGTCAAATAATAATTTTGTTTGTATTAAGCTTGACGCGTCATAAAGAGCATCTCAAGCAAACTACAGACCTTCATTAACAGTTGTCTTCGCTCAATACTAAACATCAGATGGCCAGAGAAAAGATCAGAAATAGTGAGGGATCTCTGGCAGTGAGCGAACCGAACAAGAACAGATTGTGCAACAAATATGCAGGAAGAAATGGAGATGGATTGGCCATACTCTGAGGAAACCATCAAGTGACATCACTAGACAAGCCATTGCTTGAGTAGAACCCGAAAGGGAAGCGGCGAGTTGGTCGTCAGTGCGAGGGTGACTTGGAGGAGGTCATGTGAAGAGGAGATTAGAGCACGTCGGCAGACGTAAAGCCAGGTGAAAAACTTTAGTACAGAACCGAACGCAATGGAGACGTGCGCCTGAAGCCCTATTTTCCTCTAGGAGTTAAAGGAAATAATAATAATAATAATTGTAACTGGTGACCAGTGTTTATCCTCTGGTAATTTCAAAAGTCAATAGCAGGTATTAGGTATCCTGATTTCATACATCTTATTCCACTATTTGCTCACCTGCTATTGAAATTCTCGATTTCCTCATTGCGGATTTATACGAGTGGATAGATGAGATTTTGTCACGAAAAATTTAATAGCTTATTGTTTTCAGTATTTATATTTATTAGGTTGGCATTTCAAATGGTAAGTTGACATTTTATGAACACTCAATGATTTTTACCAATAAACAAATCTATCAAGAAACAATCAAGTCACCTATGGAGCAGCTAATGCGCCAATACGGACCATATAATTAATTCAGTAGAGTCAACCTTCCCCCACCCCAACGCCTCATTATTTTTATTTATTATTATTTCCTTTCCTACGCACGTAAATCAGTCAGTAGTATATAGTGTTCTGTATTTATGATAACAGCCGGCTTATGTGGATAATTGTATTCAGTTTATTATTATTTTCTTTAATTTCTAGAGGAAAATAGGGCTTCAGCCACACGTCTACATTGCGTTCGGTTCTCTGCCAACGTTTTCACCTGCCTCCAAGTCTGCCCACATGCTTTCACCTCCCCTTCACATGACCTCCTCCATGTCACTCTTACACTGACGAACAACTCGCCGCTTCCCTTTCGGGTTCTACTCAAGCAATGGCTTGTCTAGTGATGTCACTTGATGGTTTCCTCAGAGTATGGTCAATCCATCTCCATTTCTTCCTGCATATTTGTTGCACAATCGGTTCCTGGTTGGTTCGCTCCCACAGATTACTCTTTATTTCCGATCTTTTCTGGCCATCTCATCTTAGGTATTGAGCAAAGACGGCTGTTGATGAAGGTCTGTAGTTTGTTTGATGTGCTCTTTATGACGCGCCAAGTCTCTAATCCGTATAGTAGCACTGACTTCATATTGGAGTTAAAAATCCGAATCTTATTTTTGATGCTGAATTCTGTTGACCTCAACACAGACTTGAGAGTAATGAAAGCCTGTCTTGCCTTCCCGTTGATCCTTTCTTTGATATCCTCGTCAATTCCGCTTGTAGTTGAAACGATGCTTTCCAGGTAGGTCGGTAGGTGAAGGAGGCTCCTTCTATTTATGCTGATTTTTGTTTGTTGTTGTTGTTGCTGTTGGTGTTCCCCAACAATCTTCAAAACCTACCTCTTTTTTCTCAATGTTCACCTGAAGTCCTATCCTCTCTAGATGCTTCTTCCGCCAACTTGTTGCTTTTCACTTGCATATCTTCCAGTTTGTGGGAAATCAGACATATATCATCGGCGAAGTCCAAATCCTTTAAGTTTTTTGTGTGGGTCCATTTCATGCCTGTTTCCTCGCTGCCCACTATCTGTTACATTATCCAATCTACTGCAATCAGGATAGTTGGCAGCCTTGCCTTACTGCCGTCCTCACTCCGAAGAATTCCGTAAGTTTCTCGTTGTGGATTACTTCCAATGCGCCAACAGAAGAGAAAACAACCTCCATTAACAGTTCAATAATATCAATCCTAAAGACTGTGTTCAGCATTTCACAATGAATAACTATAACGCCGAAGAAATTTAATCATTCTACATCCAGACTTAAAATTGATCATGAATATATAGAGCGATGAAGAGATTACCTATAATCCGTACAACACATCATCATTAATTTTTTTGGTCAAATTGCCACATTTTGCCTAAACTATCTTCAAATTATTCCGGAAATGAACCAGAAATTACGTGACTTTTCTATGTATTTAACTACTAAACATTATCACAGATAATTTAAAATAATTTTTCATATATTATTATAGTTATTAATAACTTCTAGACTTTCAATAACTTTTAAACTTGTGAAAATGAGGAAGTTTTTCGTGAGACAATATCATGGCTATGCTTAGTCTCTTATGTTCCCAACTGTCAGCTTTTTATTTCACAAATTGATACAGAATGACGCTTAAATTTTTTGTTTCAAGTATGATCACGAGCTTCTGAAAAACCTGCGAGTACTGGACAGCTGTTTCGTCCTAATTTGGACTTTTTATCAGTAACCACTCACCGTGATTCAAATCCAGGACCTTCTAGTTAAAAGATCGGCTCATAGACCATTCAGATATTGGAATTCGATCCACCGGCTCTTGGTTCGAATCCAGTTGGGTGCATACTGATGAAGAGTCCCAAACTAAAACAAAACAGCTGTCCAGTAGTCCCTGATTCCCCACAACCTCTTCAACTGATGTAAGCTCGTGACCAGACTTGAAACCAATCAAATCCTTACAAAACTAACTTTCTAAAGGTTATTTTTTCTGTCGACAGTGTCTGAATATACATTTTAGTTAAGGAACTCTATATGGACCTAGTTTCTTTTTGTTTCTATCACCAAAAATATGCGTAACTTTCGTCAAGCACTTACGTTTCCATGCAATACTTTACGTACACCATCTAAATAATTAGATGGATCTTCACCATTGATTGTCCAGCGTATTTTAGGCACAGGATCTCCTGTAGCTGTACATCGAAAAGTCACTGAACCATTCACAGGCACATTGATATCTTCAGGTTTTTCGATAAATTGTGGACGAACTAAATATAAAATTCAGAATAGCAACGAAAAAGTTAAAAACAGAAAGTCGACTCATTCAGTTTGCGTTTGTGTCTGGAAACCAAATAAAACATAAAAGCTGACATTATGGTTTAATGCTTAAATAGATGATTTTCATTGTGTGAGAGCTAAGTGACACAACAATGGTTAGAGTTATTGTTTCGGTTTTTACAATTGCTTTGCATGGGGTCTTTTAACTGTTGTTTTAGACTGACATTAAAGGGTTTTAATGATAAAACATCGTTCTTACTCTTTTCTGCTTCATAATGGTGAATTATATTGTTTAAAAAAGTAACCAAACAATAGTTAGTAAATCAATGGTGAATAGAAACAATTACGATTTATTATTATTATTTATCACGAAATAATACACGGAAATTTATTTAAAAAAATATAATTCTGTGGGACAGCATAAATTTCAGTAGATTTGTTACTGAAATATAAACACAGAACAAGAGCAATCTGTTCTGATGAATATTTCAATGAAGAGCTCAGTCTTATGCAACAATAACTGAATGAAAATGCTTAACCGAAGAGATTTTATTGACATGAATATGAATCTAAAGTCAAGACAAGCCAAAGTATCAACAGTGATAACACCAGTGAAATAATAACATGATGCTTAAGGAATACGGTAAAAAGAGCATGCTGTCTCTTCAAAATCCTTGTTATTTTGCCTCTTCTTGGTGTATCCATCAGTTCGACTGCTCCTGTGTGGCTAGTTACATTGAGTGTACAAATAAGGTGTGCTTATTTTGATTGGATACTAGTAATTAGAGTGACGTGTCTAGTCCTTTCTTTGGTGCAGACTGAATTCTATCAGTCATGAGGTCCAAGGATTCCTGTGGCCGATTGCCTCCAACTATATAATATAATCAAAAGGTGTGTTGATCGTCGTATTTTTAAACACCATCCGGCATGAGACAAACAAGTTCCATTCATAGATCTAGTCTATCTAATCTTCTGGATACACAACACAAAACTGTTGTTAAAAAGGCTTTCAAAGTTATCTACTGTATCTCAAGAGTTCATCTGCTACATATACACTTCTGAAGCCGTCGGAGTTTACATTATGAAGCCTTATTTATACATCGGAAAGAATTTGGTTCACCCGTCTTCCTCATCTTAGTCATCTATTCTTAATTGATTGAGTTTAGGTTCGAGCTTCGGTGGGAACATTGTCACTTGCTGAGATATGCAGGTACATCCAGCTGACGAGTCCCGAATAGGACGAAATGCGCGTCCTAGATTCCACTGCTAGTCACCATCCATCAATGTGCGTCGGTGGCACAGTGGTTAAGACTTTTGCCGACCATGCACATGGGCCGAGGTTCGAACCCCCGCCGATGCACACCTGATATCTATGGTCGGCCTGCAAAATTTAGGCTACCGATATCCATGCTGAGAATTCCATACTTGTACCAAAAATACAGTGTGGAATCAAGCTGTAAATCAAAAAAAAATTATATCCTCAACTTGCTGCACAAATTTTATCTGATATTCTATTTAGTGCTACATTTATTATTAATATAACAGGCATCTTCCTGTAATTCCATTGATCTTAACAGTTCGATATTAATCAACTATTGTTAATGACGATTATTCTAGGAATCTTTTTGTAAAATATATATAGATATGACTTTAGAGCCGTGAGAGGAGTTTATGGGAAAGAGCATTTTTCGCTCAAAATTCCCTTAGTTTTTTTTTAAATATCTAAATAGGAAATTTTGCCAGAATGACACTGATTATTAAGTGTGATTTTAAAATAGCAAGTTTTAATCCTGCAGTGATCCATATCTCTTTACAAATGAAGTCATAGACTTCACGACGTTAAAACATCGAGATGTGAATAACACGTCTTAGGCAGTGAATCGATCTAGTCTGGTATGACGACAGATGTTTTATTTGTTGTCAAGTAGCTATTGTTGTATCCTTGTTTGTCAAGTTTTAGAATACAGACTGATTTAACTCTCTGATGAAATCATAGTCAGCAGGTGAAAAAAATTATCCATCAAACTTTGCTAGTCTTATTGCATCTGAATAACAGTTTTATTCTACTGAGAACTGGTTCAGTTTCCTCTCTTTCTTTCGTCATTTAACCCCCTTTCGGAGTAATACATATTGAAGAAAGCATTTAAAGGTATGAATCTTTCAATATCTTATAAGGTCTAAAGGATTTTTGGAATCTCAAAATACATGAAAGCCATTACTATCACAATTTTGACTCAGAATATTCCCACATATTTGAAACAGTAATCGGTGAATTCAGAGATGATATTATCAATAATAAAAAGTAGAATAATTTACTGGTGATATAATCGACCTTCAGATTTACTATTTCATAAATATAATTCAGTGATGGTATGGACTCGACACGATAGCTAAGCCGACTACATCAACAAGATTCATTCTGTATGAGAAAAACCAGTTACAAAGGACAATTATTGAAGTCATTTGACTCTCGAATGGTAACCCCGGCTTTTTTAACTAATCTCACTTCCTGCTGATATGACTTCTGTTTATTTAGAATGGCACATCAGCCCTTTACATGGTCAGGGGTACGATTTACCAGTCAACAAACTGCTAAACATCGTCTAGCTATTAGTAATTCTGGAAAAGAGGGTAAGTTGGATGTGAAACTTGGAACCTCAACCCGGAAAAAACAAAACTATCACTACTGAAACTTCAAAGCCTACAGCTTGAAGCCCACCCAGTGCGCAAAACAAATGGGAGAAACCAGTTTACAGGAAATCCAGTTATATGGAATTATTAGTGCACAAATCCTACACATACTAACTTCTCCGTGTTTTTCGGCCACTAAAATTGTTATTATATGGATTTCACTTAGTGAAAATAAAGTGTAAATACAGTGATATAGTCCACACAGTGGCCTAATATCTTCAGAATGAACAAAATAAGCAGCTTATTTGAAAGTTGATTGATGTTATACTGATGGATGCGATTTATAGAACAGGCTTGAGGTTACTGTCATGACTGCATTGACTAGTCTTGTTATCATAAATGCTACAATTAAATTACTTGAACTAAGATTTTATTCTCAATGCCATATTTTGAATTTCTAAATATTGACTTATTTATATCAATAAACTCTCTGAAGTGAAGCAAGTGAAGTGAGGCAGTCACCATTAGCACTTTAAGTGTACAGTCAGTAGAATCGATATATATATGTGTGGTGAGAGCAGGCTGCTAGCCAATTGGTAGACATTAATCTACATCAATGTCTAGGTCACTAATATTGACCGTGAGAAAATATGAACAAGACTGATTCAACAACCAATCACAACAGACTCAACGTGGGCAAATACGATTCGCAGATATATGGCTTAACTTTCTGGGAAACTAGAAGAATAAAAGGAAATGAAATCTGTGGAAGTACTGTTCAGCTAAATTTTTTCTCATTACGCTATCGTAATGTTTAAGGCAACACAGAACTACGACTACACGCATGCTTCATTTCACTCTGAGACTCTTCATCAGTAAGCACTTACTGGGTCACAGATGATCGGACCCAGGACCTTCAAGTCACAGGTCAAGCCTGTTGACCATTCAGTCACTGTGAACCAATCCAATAGCCGCTAAATTCGAATTAATGATTAAGAAATGGTTGACCATTGGATCGTTTCCCAGTGGCTGAATTGTCAACAGGCACGACTTGTAACCAGAAGGCCTTAGATTGAACTTGGTGGAGTCATGGGTGTAAACTACTGAAGGCGAAATGGGTGTCTAATACTCCCTGGTTTATCAGTGGTCCTCTAACCGATGTCAATTCACGATAAAAATTGAAATTCCATTATTCTTTATGGAAACCAAGACTGCGTTTTAGTTTCCTTTCAGATGGATTATGGTGTTTTTGGACAGGTAATTCTGGAGATGCAAATATTAAAAACTTAGTCTACAATGATGTGTAGAATAAGTTTTGCTAAATACAATAGTTTCTAACATAGATGAGTAAGTATGTGACTGGTGATTTCGAGTTCCATAACAATTCACCTTTTAACATGAGTAACCTTCAGAACATCATTTCTTAACTTTGCTGAAGGTGAAATGGAAAGCTTCATTCACCAAACAAGGTGGATTAATAATTAGGCAATCTCAATTGGTTACCTTAGCTTCAGTCAAAAATTATAAATGTCAGACACTGTATAACAAACAGTAAATTGATTTAATGAAAATCCACACTCATTCTATAAAACAGTCAGACTAAGATTTTTGAAATCATCAAAGATAAGACGGTGAAACACACCTGCAGACGTCATATTCACTTCTAGTTTACCCAGTGCAGCATATATGGATAGGTAGAACCAGTATCAAACTAAGTAGCCCAGACGAAGTATGCAGTCTTTACCCTCTATTTTATTCAGAAGTGGCTTACTAAACCACACTTTCTTTATCGACCTAAACGTTCATTGTATCATCTCGCAATAATTGCTTAGGAATTCTGATATACCGAGAGATAAACAGACCAATTAGAAACTGTCCACAAATGCTGGAATACATATTATTCACTTCAAAATTAAGTATGCATTCATTTCACATCAATTTTTGCAACAAAAGTATGTGGCTACTTATAAGTAGTTTGACGAAACTAAAATATATATCGCCTACCTCGAACCTGTACAGTAAATTGAGTGTTCATAGTACTCTTGGTAACTTCATTTAGGCCTTGACATCTGTATTCTCCGGCAGCTTCACGAGTTACAGGGTTAATTTCTAACATTGTACCCATATTCTTTATTTTTACATTGGGTAGCTATAAATAAAATAAATTTAACAGAATACAGTGATGCTGACTGATTACTGATTGTATTTTGTCCTAAGATATAGTTAACGGGCTAAACAAATGTCACCGGAGTATAACCGTTATTGTATCCAGTTTGGAAGACTCCATCTGTTTCAGCTTTTTATTGGAGTCCGGATGGGAATTCTGCGCAGAGATAGATGCTAACTGAAAGCAAAATGTTAGTCAATTTGTATGCACATTCCTAAATGACAGTCAGTTGCCTTAGTAACTACTAACCTCCCAGAAACACAAGTTTTAAGCATTTTATACGTCAAGGTATATATATATATATATATATATATATATATATATATAATGTTCGGCTGCATGCTTAAAACTTGTGCTACCAAAAACCCCCATCATTATATTGCGTATAATTTCTGTTAAATTGTGACCTCATACATGGCATTGTTTACTCTCGCAAGTATTTTAAATGTCTACAATCTTCCGATTAGCAAATTTCTACTAAACTTGAGAAAAAGCTTATGGGAAGTGACGTATCCCAAATACATGAGACGACTGTTCAAGATTTATTTCCTTGGATCTAAAAATGTACTTGTCAGTGTTTTATAACTGGCTTTCAACAGAACATCATGGATTTCTCGAAACATAAAACAACAAATAGCATAATGGATTGGTTAATATTTCAGATGATACACTATTATTTCACTCAATCTGCTTTTCACATACTATTTTTTTTGAAGATCCTGGAAAAATAGAAAATTGTACGCATTAAACTCTTCTGTAAATTTTGTACACTGGACAAATACCGTTCAGAATAAAGCTATTATTATCATTATTAACATTACTATTATTATGATTGTTCCCTTGGGTTCCTAGTGGAGCACAGAGCTTCAACTGCACGTCTCCACTTGCCACTTCTGCCGTACTTTTCACCTGCATCCATGTTAGTCCATACTGTCTCAACTCCTCTTCACACGATCTCCTCCATGTCACCCTTGCACTGACGTCCCACTTACCGCTTCCCTTTCGCTCTGGTTCCACTCGAGCAATGGCCTGACGCGCGCGCGATGTCACCCAGCGGTGGCCTCCTCAGCGAGTGTCCAATCCATCTATCTCCACCTACTCCTGCATATTTCTTGGTTGGCGATTGGTTCTTGTTTTGTTTGTTCCCAGCCACAGTTTCTTGTTGGTGATTCTTTCCGGCCCGGCCCGGCCATCTGATCTTCAGTATAGAACCAGCGAAGACAGTTGTTGGTTGATAAAGGTCTGGTCTGCAACAGGCTGTTGGAAGTATTCTTTGTGACCCACCCACCTGCCAAGTTTCTGATCCGTATAGAAGAACTGACTGACTTGACGCTGTTTGCATTGAAAATCCGACGGAATTGTTGTTGTTGATGGTGGCTGAGTGACGAAGATTTCCAGATTGGTTGTTTTAGGTTGATGAATGTGTTTCTCGCCTGCCTTCCCAATTCTCGCTCAACTTGACGTCCTCGTCCGTTCCGACTGGCTGTAGTTGAGACAATGCTCCCTAGATAAGGGAGTGAATGAAGTAACCTCTTTCAAATCCCTCCCGTTGATGGTGATTGGCGCTGGATGTTGCTGCTGTTGTTGTCGTAGTTGGTTGGTTATTTTCATAACCTCCGTCTTGTCTATGTTCACCTGGAGTCCTGTCTTCGCCGGCTGCTTCTTCGACCAGTTTGTCGGTTTTCGCTTGTAAGTCTTCGATTGTGTGTGACATCAAACATAAATCATCCACGCGCGAAATCCAGGTCTTCTAGATCTTCACGTTGGTCCAGGATATTCCTGTCTTCTCGTTTCCCTGTCACTGTCTGACGCATAATCCAGTCCACCACAATTAGGAATATCACTGGTGATAGTAAGCACCCCTGTCTGACTCCTGTGTTTACTCCAAACGCCTCGCTGAGTCTCCCGTTGTGGATCACTTGACATGTGCCGTTGTCGTACAGCTGTTGAACAAGGTAGATGAATATTTCGGGTACGCCGTAGTACTCGAGTAATTTCTAAATTACTTTGCAGTCAACGCTGCACTGTCGAAAGCCTTCTCAAAGTCTATAAAGTTGAGTTAGAGGTTTGATTGTCATTCCATGCTTTGTTCGATGATGATGCGTAGAGTTGCAATTTGGTCAGAACATGATTTGCCTTTCCTGAATCCAGCTTGTTCTGGTCGGAGTTCTGTCTCCAGTGAGTCCTTTATTCTCTCCACAAATGTCATTTAATCAAAACCATACTTTGGGTGAAAAAAGTGGATAATGTTGTCTCAGGTTAAAACAAAAATTCTTACGGTTATTTTTTCACTATCATCTTTGAACCATGTGTATAATGGTTCTGGGTAACCGCTGTAAATACATCTTAATTGGATTATATCACCAACTGCAGCATCTTCTTTTCTTGGGGATCTATACTCTGTCTTTAATGGATAAGTTAACTAAAGTTTAAAGAAAGTAAAAATTATGTATATATATATGCATAAGTAGTCTGATACAATACAGTTGTTGTCTTTTTTTTCAAAGTTTAAGATTATGGGCAGAAATCAACAACACTGTCTAGACATTTTTTCAAGTCTACTTAATTTTGTATACGCGTAATAAAGCTACAGTCATAAAGTTAATATTTCAAAATAACAGTCAGTCATATCCATTAGGTAAAAATGCTCTCACTTCAGAAACAGTATACTGTTTGGCGCTGGACAGATTTCACAGCATTCACAGGTGAAAGAATATCTTAGTAAAATTAGAACAGCTACAGGCTAGGCGCTCATCTCAGAAACCAATTACATACACACACACACACACACTTATAAACCAGGTGATAAGATACTTCTATTGAATATAGAGAGAGAGAGAGATAGTATTGATTTTGGTTTGACTACCCTAAGTTTATTAGGCAGAGAAATGTTTGAATTGGTCACAGATATTATCACTAGCTGACACCAGTTAGAGAACCACCGAAAAGCCAGAGAGTACTGGACAGCTTTCTCCATCAGTAGTATGCATCGACCGAAGTTCAGACGTAAGACATTCCAGTTACAATGTTTCTCTAACTGAGATCAACCCGCAATCGAATCTGTAACTAATCAAATTCCCTTAAACTAAAACTGGATAAATATTTGAATTGTTGAGTAGCTACCCTATGAGCCATAGCACTGATCCCCAGTATGCAATTAATAATAATAATAATAATCTATTTTATTCCAAAAACAGTGCTTGTAATACAGAATGGAATTCTCAGCATTTGTCACAATATTGCATCTGATTTACTTCAAATAAAAAAAAATAATTTTTAATATAAATTTTAAAAATAAAATTGAAAATTAAAACAAAAGTAACCAGAGGAATTTGTCCACGTTAACGATATAAAGTCAAAAATATTCGAAGCATGAATTGAGATCATTAAGTATTAATAATAATAATAACAGTTTGTTTCACACAGTATTGTCGATTCAGTTTGGAAACTTTAGCATGTTATAGATTATCGGATCTAATGTTCTGTTGATATCGTATAGTGAGGGGAAATACAAAATTAACAGTGGTAACACAGCTTAAACAATGTTCAGACTTATGAAAAATAAATAAAAACAAAAAGTTGAGAGGATTATAAATATAAAAAATACAATAACAATCAAGTTTGGTACTGTAAGGGTGGAAGAAATGGTTTATTAAGTAGTGCAAAGAAGGTCAGTTAGTTCATGCCTGACACCATTTTCATCACATAAAGTATGTGCTAAATATGGTATAGTGGAATTTTTATACTTAGACGTACGTGCGTAAATTCTTCTAAAAAGACCTCTTGTTTTACCTGAGGAGACACAAGGTTAGAGCTGCGAGTAGAGTGGGTGCTCACAGTCTGACAAAATTCCTTTAGCAAATTTGTTACATGACATCAAATGGCTATCCTTGACAATGCCAACGATATGGCCCAATGGGATACCACTCATCCTACTGACAGTCTTCAGAGTTCTACAAAGTATGACACAGTCTTTTTCAAGCAATCCAGGAAAGAATAAGAGTGAATAATTAAGAAGAATAGGTAAAATACACGAGTTGACAAACTGTAAGAGGAGTGGTTGGGTTATACCTGAGTGCCTTAACTTCTTAATGTAAAAGGTCAGGTGAAATATTCTTTTAGAAATCGCTAAGACATGGGAAAACTAAGATAGGTCAGAAGAAAGAACTAATCCAAGATACTTAACTTCAGACTTGGTTTCTATATCAGTATCATCAATTTTCCAAGAGTCATAGGAACCAACGGCTTCATTTAACTTTCGTTTACATCGGAAACTGAAATTGACAGTCTGACATTTGGAAGGACGCAGTTTAAGGCCGTTAGACGAAGACCCTTTGCTCTTCGCTCTACCACATTACTGAAGCTGTAAATCTGCTTTTTGATAATCACTGTCTAAGAGATTCATAAAATGTGTGTGGATTTTAAAATCCAGGTAAATAAGATTAATACAAAAAAGTCTGCAGGTATCACTCCAACTAATTTTTCATCTCAAAATATTCAAGAACTAAGTTGTCTTAAATATTTGCTTAATTGTGTATAAGAAAGTTTCTTTTCAGCAGCATAAAAATCATAGTGATTACTAAATCTTTATTCAAAACCATTTCTTCATTAGAAAGCATAGTTTGATTCACAAAGTAGATTATACAATGACTAATCACATCAGCACATGGTTACCTTCGCTCTATACTGAAAATTAGATGTCCAGAGACCAAAAGCAACGAAGAACTCTAACAACAAAGCAATCAATAGCCTACTACCAAAAATTGTATGCATAAGGAAATGAAGATTGACTGAACATTCTCCAAGAAGATTTCTCAGTGATATCAGGCGCTAGGCAGGCTTCGAAAGGAAAATGGTTGGTTGGCTGTCCGAGAATAGCATGGAAGAGCTCGTGGTAGGATAAAATAAAACCTGCCGTGCAATCAAGTTAAAAAAAAGACAGCAGAAAACAGAGAAAAATGCTAACTTGTTACTGAAGTCCTATCTTCCACATTCTCAACCCTCAGGAATAATAATGAATACGTGAAAAACGAACAAATAGAACACTAAAGGGTTCTAGCCTGAGTTTCTGAGATCATTGCTCAGCACCACCTTATGCTTACACATCAGTGACACTGTAACAAAACTGAATCTTAGAAAAATTACAAAGTATCTTTTGATAAAAAATAAACCAAACTTCATTTTTAAGTGATTTTTCAGTTATTACGAACACTAAAGTTAAAAATTTATTAAATGTATGTTTATAAAATTTTATATATATATATATATATATATATATATATATATATATATACAGTAGCACAAGTTACCGGTTGTCCTGATACACGGAGGCGATAAGATGGACCACTCTTCTGAATACGCAGTACCTCATTATTTGCTACACATGTATAAAGTGTATTATCATCTTCTTGAGTTACTGTTGCAATGTAGAGATAACCTTAAAAGGATGAAAAGTCAAAAAGAAATCGGTAATATTGAGTAATAAGTGAATCACTAAATTACAGAATTATAAATCATAAAAGTTTTCTTAAATCCTTCGATTCGATTAGATGGGGAAAGTATTTACGATTAACTTTAAAGTATTCATTTGATAATAGACATTTAACTTGGCATAGTGAACGTTTAAATAAACTTATATAGTTGGCTCGAATCAAAATTTTCACGTAGTTTGAAACAGTATAATTATCTAATTCAATTTTAGATTCTCTCGTCGATTGATTGGCCAGAAGTGCTCGGTGTCACGTTGACATGTCGGCTACTTGTGTATATGCTTCGATGATGTCTGGGCGTGTAATTAGAAGTTGATTAGTGGATGGTAACCAGCATTGGAATCCAGGGCATGCATTTGGTCCTATTTGGGACTCTTCATTTGGATGTGCCGGGAAAATCTAAAATTGGATTAAATAATTAATATGACCAGTTTCACAAGAGGTGGCGTCTGTGATCCAAAATGGTCTAGTGGATAACACTTTGACGTTTGAAACTATGGGCACTGGGTTTGAGCTTCTGTGGGAACATAATCACCGACTGCGGAATGCAGCCACATCCAGATGACGAGCCCCAATAAGGACACAACGGGCATCCTGGATTCCACTGTTAGTCACCATCCACCAGTTAACTTCTAAACACAACTTAAGTGTTCTGAAAGTAATCGAATGCTTTGTCCAAATAGTTCACCTTCATTTACTCGGATAAAGAGATTTTCTAATATGTTTTTAGTGGTGAACCATAAAGAAATATTTAAGAGTATCCAGAATAAAAATTCTACACTCTGTGGGGAACCGAGATGTGAATATATCTCACTCTCCGGTCGATAAAGCAACCGAGCTGACAATCCAGAAAATGTATATTTTAAATCTAGCATGATTTACTTTACTTTTGAAATTCCACTATCGTTTTGCATACATAAATTATTCTATCAATTCAAAAAAAATATTTACCATTAATATCAGTTGCTCTTCTATTTGTCTCTTTTAGATAATGAATCTGGGCATTCTTTTCTGTTTGCCAGGTAACTACTGGTTGTGGATAACCAACTGGAACTTGACAAGAAAGTTTTTCAGACTGCCCTAGACGAACATGCACCTCTTGTTCTCTTGTCATTTTAAAGTCACCGAGTTCTAATAGATAAATAAAAAACAAAATAATTAAAGGTTTACAAATGGATTAGTTGTAGAAAGTATTAATTTCAAAAGAGTTAAGAATATTTTAGCATTCGCTTTAAAAGTTAATTAGCATTGTGGATAGCGAATATTGAGACACTTATTTAATAACGTCTGCAGACTGTTTGAATCCATGCGTCTTAAGATACATCATTCGAATTCGATACATTTAATTGCTGCATAAACAAATGAGCTAAGTAATACAACTTGAAATTTAAAAGGATTCACCTTGTCAGGAAAAAATATTACCACGAAAATTTCATAATTTCACGTCGAAACATGTTTTATTCTGTTAGTAAATGTTATAAGAAAGACATTGTATCACAAAGCTAAATAACAAAACCTAGCCACTCTCTACCTCATAAATCTATTTGTTGCAAAAAAGCTTTTGAACATGAGAAAGAGTCTTATTTAAAACTTATTAATTTATCTGTCTTTTAACGAATGGATTTATTTAACCTGTTTATCTAAAAGGCGCTTATATATATAACGGATGACAACTAACGAAAGTCTACAAAACCTTGAATAGGCTTGGATACAATGTCTTAAGAAATTTTACGCTAGCCGAAATAATTGGACAAATAAACAGATAATCTGGTTTCAAAATAAGCAGTTGTACTATGAAAATGTTCAACCCTTATTGAATTAAACCTGTTTTGCATGACATTCCCAGTAACAGATTTCTAATGTCATAAATTTAAAGTATACAAGAGATTGAACTTGCTCATCTGTCAGCGAGACTCTGTTGTCTTCCCAGCTTCAAACACCAATGAGTACCTTCAACCTTAAAAGGTCTAACATGAGCGAAATATTGTGCACTAAATTCACCTTCTAACAACTCTGAAAACAAGTTTAGCAAAGTTAAAAATGATCGTAATCAAACACACTAAGGAAAATATTTATAAAACAACAAAATATTTAGAGATATTAAAGTTGAGAACATTTTGTGGAAGGGTTATAAAATAACATATCATCTAGGCTATTTTAGATGTGGTCCACAAAAAATGTAAGTAAAATGAACAGTTCCACTGGACAGACGACAAATCAGCACAGAACTTTGCTGTGAGCAGTATCAGTTCAAATAACGGCAGTTTGGAAACAAATGTACATCAAAGAATAGAAGAGATACACTGTAATACAACAATAAACAAAGATGTGTGGGAGGGTGGATATATCCACACTATACAACTGAAGGCTGGACAATCATGCAGCGACACAAGGGCTGCATCCGAAGTGGATATCCCTTTAAAATCCCATGCACTATTAATGGGTAGACGCCTAAACTCATCGTTTTACTTCTTTACATTTTCTCCTGTTTAACTTCCCTGATTACTCTAACTAATACACTAACACATCATTATTACTATTGGTATTATATATATATATCAACTTCAAACTTAATTAGCTGTCTCTCATTACGTTTTTTCTTTCTTTTAGTCTGGATATCCCACACTTATTATGTCTGTTATTATTATCTCCCTACTTTTGTCGATGATACCGGAGGAGTAGCTGGTGAAGGGTACAACTCCATTCACAGCCGCAACAAAGTCTTAACACACCGCATACTAAAACAACACATAATTAATCCCAGCCCCACTCCTTTTGGAGTCAACCAAGGCTACGACAATCGAGTGGTGGAAAGAACTACGCAGAAACTTAACAAAGACCAGAAGCCTCAACCTCACAAACAGGAAACGAGCACAAAGAAATCAAAATGGTTTACACCAACTCGTAAAAACGACAGTGGATATTGAATACTGGAAGGATCACAAGTGTTTACAGGCATTTTTATTTTTCCAGTTAAAATTTGGAATAAAAGATGGAATAATGTGACTTCAATATTTTCACGAGCATTAAGTAAAGTTCTGAGCGAATAAAGAGTGGTCACAAGCATTCGGTGCTCAAAATATTTGAGGGAATTTTGGATAACAAGGTATTTCAGTGGCGGTTTTCCACCTGAAAACTGTAATAAGATATTGAAATCCTTCAACCGACTGTGCACTCACTGAAACGCACTAAAATTGTGTCTAGATTGGTGATGCTTGTCAAGCAAAATCACTTGGAAACTGATCTCACGAAATATGAATTAATTTCAAATGATGGCGTAATTAGACCCCTTTGGGTGAGTAGGAATCTGTCTCACTTCCCACAACTTACCCGCTCTTTTAACATTCACAATCACAGACAGAGCTGTACCAAACTGATTTTTCGCTATGCACTGGTACATACCATCATCGTCAGTACCAGGTCTAGCAATCACAAGGGTGCCGTGGTCTGGCCACTTCGTATACCTTCCAGTGTTTGCAGCCCAATTAAAGTACTGTCCATTCTTATACCAATAATATCTGAGAAATGCATCAGAAAATGTGGAAATTACTTTGGTGATGGAGAACCTCTCGCAACACAAGGTAAACGTATCGCCTCGCCTGGTATAAACACTATATCCGTAGGTGGCATCTCGATGATAGACGGTGGATACGTTACTATTGAAACAAAATTTAAATAAATGATCTATATTACTTGATGATGTAGGAATGACCAAACAAAATGCGGTAATAAATGTAATTAAAACCATTTTAGTCCCACTGAGGTTAAGGTAATACATTTTCAGTAAAGATCTGTAGAGGTTATGAAATACAATGGAACGCCGACCTTATATTGTGTGACATGTGACTCAGAAGTTAGATTGCCTGAAAGACATCATTTCCGCCTTGTTATTTACACATTCGAAATACCGGGTAACATCACCTTGAAAAAACCTGGGCAGCAGTGTTTATAAACAAAAGCATTATCACATTCAGACTGTGAGTCTATGATTCATGATAAATTATCAGTTAATCTCTCTTAAGTACCTATGGCTGCCTGTTTCCCTCCAACAGTTGGTCTTAAGAAGGTTTTTCTCAATGGGAGCCCCCGTACTTCAAGAATGTCTGGTTAATCAGTAGCATTTTAATACTCCAAACTTTTGGAGTGTGTTCCAAAGGACAGCTTAGGTCCACTACCATTTCCCTAAATTTTAAACATTTTGGTTTGACTACTCCATTAGCGGTATGAGAAGGAGTAGATATTAGTCCTTCCAGGTTAGTAGTACAGTAGGTAGGTTATAGTAGTGGTCTTTCACGAAGCTGTCCCTTGAAACCTCTCCAATATTTCTTACTGATCTTTCAGGCTATCCGTGTTTTCGGTGGCATTCACTAGACGGTTAATCTTAATAATTATGGGTGCGACTAATTAAGTTTCAGTATGAAGGCATCCCAGTTATCTTCGATTCATATATGGACCCAGATTTCTGGTTACGGGCAGAAGGCTTTAAATGCACCTTGTTCCTTTTTAATCAAACGTCAATTAGTATCCTAAATGTATATATATCCTTTCAACACAATTTCCCTAGCCTTCCAATCTGATTTTACAAACTCTTTCTGTGGGGATGTCTTCTTTAGTAACCTGCGTTTGATAAACATGATCCAGCCATAGCGTTAAGCCATTGGTTACAGTGTCGTGAGCTCTCTGTTACCTAATCAGTTTGGCCAGGAGGCATGGGAACTTATACTTCACCCCCCCCCATCGTAGCAACCAAATACAGCGCTTAAACGCGATGCCAGACAACAGGT